CTCAGCATCACATGTCCGCAACCTGTCACTTAATAACCTCTTACTCTGTTAAATCTCTTTGTGCTCATTTTTGTGGTTTGACTGAGTTTGTGGCTCTTTGAGTCTTTCGTGATCATTGTTCATGAACATAACCTCGTGCCCCGCCCACCACCTGCTTGCTCTGGGTGGACAGGTGAAAGAGCAGAGAGTATCAAGATGGTTAGAGAGGAAAACCCTGGCTGTCTAAGTTTTTATGAGACTGTCATTTGTCACTGCAGTTCAAGTGGAAAACTCAGTATGGTGTTGACTGATTATTTCACTCATCATATGTCTTGTATTATATAAAAAATCATATGGACGTTAATAATGTTAAACATTGGATTTTCATCAGAGGATCTTGAGATAATGATAAATGGCAGACAGACAGACAGACAGACAGACAGAAAGACGACAGACAGACAGAGCAGACAGACTAAAGTTTTATTTCCACTCAGGTCGTCAGTGTATGCCTGCGTCACACTGATTTTGACAAATACAGGTGTTTTGAGAAATAATCAGGTAAATGCAGTTGTGATACAGGATTAGGAAGTGAGATCAATTAAGACAGTGAATTCCCTGAATTCCTATGTTATTAACTCTCTAATTTGGTGAAATAAATATTTTATTGTCAGAGCTTCATTATAGTAACATTGTATTACAATACTATGAACTGAGAGGGAACAACCAACAGTTCACAGGACAGAAACAAGTGTATTTTTCATTGAAAAGGTTTTCAAAAGTCAATGAATAGTCTGTAAAATGAAAATGTTTGTTAGAACACACAGGCTCTGTTCCAAAAGTGTGAAACTCATTCAAAAACAACTCTAATACCTAAAGGTCCTGCCTTGGGACAGGGTCTTTCTCAAAAGTATTGTTCATATGGTCAACTCAAGATGGTAATTTTGAAAAAACAATCTCATTTGTTTTTATTCAGTGTTATGGTTGAACTCTACACTGACCCTACACTTACCGACACATTCCCCATCAGTCCTAGACATCAGCGACTAAATTGACATGGCTCCACTGACAAGGCCACAAAGGAGCCAAGCTTCTGTGGTTAGTTCACATTGTAACAGCAGGACGGAGAGGACTGGACACTGTATGTATGTTTTAGAAGAGAGCTTTTGAGAGTGTGAGAGTTGTATGGATATGGATGAAACCAAGTTATGCTGATTGGACGTACTTAAGCTATGCACTTGTAAGTTCTTCATTTGATCTGAGTTTTTCTTAAATTCTCTCTAAAATTCTCCAGCTGATCCATAATGCTAAGCTTGAGTAATGACAGAAAAGAGACACAATCACATCGTCGTGTTAGCTTCATTGGCTCCTATAAAATCCAGAATAGAATTAAAATCTCTCTCTCACCTACAAAGCCATTAATGTCGGCACCATCGTATCTTAAATCTCTTCTACTTTCTTTATTTACCAATTCTCTGACTTGTCTTTAGGACTCAATAAAAGTTAACGTAATGCAAAGATTTTTTACATGACCCCAGATGAGCTATTCTATAATCATAATCAGACATTTAATCAGTCTTGATAGAATGAACAAACAAGCCAAACAGCAACAGGGCTGTCTAACATGTCGTAGTATCAGCTGACAGCTGACAAACAAACTGTAAAATACCAGAAGCCTGTACTACGAAGCAAGTTCAACATATCCAGGATAACTTTTAGTTATCTGGCTTGACTGAACCTAACATTGACCGTCCTGATAACCTGAACTATGAAGCTGGTTATCAACTGGCTCAGTTAACCCTGGCTTTACCTATCCGGTTACGAGCACATTCATCTGAAAGAGGTGGAGTTGTTAATTAAAAGGCTACCTCGTCAGAACCATGAATAAAGTAATTAATATGATACGAGAAGAAACGCTGATACCTGCCGGTAAGTTCGGTTATCACCACGTCCAAAAGTGATATTCAACAAAGTGCAATGTAAACAATATGATCAGATGACTGGAATAAAAAAGTAATATTTCTGAATATAGTTACTAGTCAGACTTATATATATATATATAGTATATATATATATAATATAGATTATCATTAAGTTTCTTACTGAAGTATTTTTGCTCTTTTGTCTGATGATGATCAAACTGTATGAAAATGTGATGCAGATAAAACAGTTAAAGTTAATGTCAGACTGTTTCTGCTGCAGAGAGGAGAGAAAGAAAAGAGGAGAGAAGTAGTTGATGTCTGATGAGTCAGTCTGACTGAAATGTTTGAAAATTATAAATCAAATTTATAATCATGGGAAATATCCAACAGGATGTGGATCATTGTTCTAATAAAAGACATCAGAGGTTTATTTTTTATTTCCAATTATTGTCACAGAGTCTCCTCGTGTTATTCTGACCTGCAGTGATGAAGAAAAGTAAGAGCATCATCACTCTCAGGAATCCTGTCAGATTTAAGAATATTTCCTCAATTAAAATTAAGCTATAATAGTTGTTAAGTTAATAGTTGATATATTTATTTAGTGTGATAAACTCTCCATGCAAGCTTTGTTTTAAAACCAGAGTGGACACGTGCAAGGTCTGGAACTGATTTATATAAATGTCTACTTCTTGTTATTATTTATCATGTAATTGTGATAGTTTTTTGTTCCAGTTGGGATCCTGTAGGAATAATGACTCAGTTTTTCCAGGTATCTGATTGGTCAGTAGCTTGGCTGTTGACTGGTTTCAATCTGATCCTCTGAAGTTAACCTGAGCTGGAGCAGGTTGGGAGGAGGTTAGGAGTTCAACATAAATGACAATGGTGATTTACTCCGGTAACAAGTGAACCACCATTGTAGGATTGGAAACCCAGAGTTATACCTGAAGTAACCTCAATAACCTTAAATCCTTCTTTGTAGTACAGGCCTCAGAACTGTGTGAACAGGTAAAGTTAAAGAGAGTTAAATTGAAGTTAATCTGGTATTAATATGGAGTTAAACTGGAGTTAATCTGGAGTTAATATGGCATTAATATGGCATTAATATGGGATTAAAGGGGAGTTAATCTGGAGTTAAACTACAGTTAATTTGGAGTTGAACTGGTTTTATTCAGCAGTTAAATTGTAGTAAATATGGGGTTACTCTGGAGTCAAACTGGAGTTAATCTGCAGTTAAATTGAAGTAAATCTGGAGTTAAACTTGAGTTAAACTGGATTTAAACTGGAGTTAATCTGAAATTAATCTGTGGAGTTAATATGGAGTTAATATGGTGTCAATGTGGTGTTAATATGGGGTTCAAAGGGAGTTACTCTGGAGTTTAACTGGAGTTAATCTGGAGTTAATCAGGAGTTAAACTGCAGTTAATTTGGAGTTGAACTGGTTTTAATTAGCAGTTAAACTGGAGTTAATATGGAGTTGAACTGGAGTTAAACTGGAGTTAATCTGCAGTTAAATTGAAGTAAATCTGGAGTTAATATGGTGTTAATATGGGTTTAAAAGGGATTTAACCTGGAGTTTAAGTGGAGTTAAACTGTTATAAATCTGGAATTAGTCTGGAGATAATATGGTGTTAATATGGGGTTAAAAGGGAGTTACTCTGGAGTTTAACTGGAGTTAATCAGGAGTTGAATTTGAGTTAAACAGGAGTTAATCAGGAGTTGAATTGGAGTTAAACTGTAGTAAATATGGGGTTATTCTGGAGTCAAACTGGAGTTAATCTGCAGTTTAAAGTAAATCTGGAATTAATATGGAGTTAATCTGGAATTCATCCGGAATTTAAACTGGAGTGAAACTGGAGTTAATACAGAATTGAGAGTTTAACTGGAGTTAAAATGGAGGTAATCTGGAGTTTAAACGGGAGTCAAATTTGAGGTAAACTGGAGTTAAAAAGGAGTTAATATGGAGTTAAACTTGGGTTAATCTGGAGTTAAACTGGAGTTCATCAGGAGTCCAGTCTGTGTTTCAGGTACAGTCGATAAGACTAAACAAACCAACATCTCACCAAAATATTCTCATTTTAAAATAGTGCCTTTTTCATCTTAATAAAAGTGTTTTTAAATATAAAAACATTGTCACATTTTTTCTTCCACACACAGAGCGTCACAGATTTAATTTAAATATAAAAACATGTTTGATGACAGACTTTTCACACAGAAAAGTTTATAAATATTTTTTCTCTTTTTACAGCATTCTGCTACACGACTGTCAGACTTTATAAAAACATCTGAATCTTTTACAGCGGTCAGATAGAAAAATAACGAATAGAAAGACAACACCTGCTACACCTTTGTGGCCATGCCTCCCTTCACTCTGACTGGACAACAAGACAACCCCTGCACCTCTCGTTCTGTGTATGTGTTTATGTGTCTGTGTTACTGTTGGCTGAAAGTTTTTGGTGATTGTCATGTTTTGTGAAAAGTTGATTGAGTGTTGAAATAAAACGATAAAACAGCTGATTTTCTCACATCATTTACATGACAGTGTCTCAACCTCTGGGTCAAGACCCACATGAGGTCACTTCATCTGTCAACCCCTCAATGTCACAAACTGTCACACATTCACACCCAGTGATTAGTGCATTAATTGATTAGTTGAGAGTTTCATATTATATTTGATTGTTTTTAATGAAGACATCTAGACTGTTGTTTTTGTGTCTTGAGGATATTTGGTTTATTTCATTGCTTCTCTTTGAGTCTTTCGTTTGAAGTCCTCAAACCAGATTCACATGAATGAGGATTTAAGACCAGAAGCAGAGAAGCTTAATGACAGTTTGAACTAAAATTCATTCTCTGCTCACTCATGACTGGTGATGTAAACATTAACATTTTTTCATTCGATGTGTAAAAGCCCTCAGTGCTAACGGATGGAGAATATACAGCTGATACTGATCAATCAAACAATGAGAGAAAACCAGCCAGATGTGTTCGTTTAAATCATCGAACTGTCAGTGTGGTGGATATGGCCTGATGGCTACTTCATCATCATCATCATCAATATCATCATCACTGTTTCTGTGTTGCTCAGAACACTGTGGTGGTCTGTGATTCACGTTTTTGTGTAGTAATTGTGTTTCAGATTGCAGTGTCCCAGAACACCGTGGTGGTCTGTCCAGTGGCGGCGGCGGTTGGTGGGCCTGAATATGGTGGCGGCTGTTTCCTCTTCCAGCTGGGCAGGATCGGCATACTGTCCTGTTTACACAAATTCTTCTCTGGCCGCTGACGAGATTTGATCTCTTGACACAAAACTCTTTTCCTCTCGATCATCTCCATCATGGTGGCGTCTCCGCACAGCCACGGCATCTGGAGATGAAGAACAGCTCAGCATCAACATGTCCGCAACCTGTCACTTAATAACCTCTTACTCTGTTTAAATCTCTTTGTGCTCATTTTGTGGTTTGACTGAGTTTGTGGCTCTTTGAGTCTTGTCGTGATCATTGTTCATGAACATGAACCTCGTGCCCCGCCCACCACCTGCTTGCTCTGGGTGGACAGGTGAAAGAGCAGAGAGTATCAAGATGGTTAGAGGAGGAAAAACCCTGGCTGTCTAAGTTTTTATGAGACTGTCATTTGTTCACTGCAGTTCAAGTGGAAATACTCGGTCATGGTGTTGACTGATTATTTCACTCATCATATGTCTTGTATTATATAAAAACATCATATGGACGTTAATAATGTTAAACATTGGATTTTCATCAGAGGATCTTGAGATATGATAATGGCAGACAGACAGACAGACAGACAGACAGAAAGACAGACAGACAGACAGACAGACAGACTAAAGTTTATTTCCACTCAGGTCGTCAGTGTGATGCCTGCGTCACACTGATTTCATTGACAAATACAGGTGTTTATGAGAAATAATTCAGGTAAATTCAGATCTAATGTAACAGGATTAGAAAAAGATGATCAGATTACAGAAGGTGAAACTTTCCCTGAATTCCTATGTTTTAACTCTCTAATTTGGTGAAATTAAATATTTTATTGTCAGAGCTTCATTAGTAAACATTGTATTACAATACTATGAACTGAGAGGGAACAACCAACAGTTCACAGGACAGAAGACAAAAGTGTATTTTTCATTTGAAAAGGTTTTCAAAAAGTCAATGAATAGTCTGTAAAATGAAAATGTTTGTTAGACAACTTCCAGGCTCTGTTCCAAAAGTGTGAAAACCTCATTCAAAACAACTCTAATACCTAAAGGTCCTGCCTTGGGACAGGGTCTTTCTCAAAAGTATTTTGTTCATATGTTCAACTCAAGATGGTAGATTTTGAAAAAACAATCTCATTTTGTTTTTATTCAGTGTTTATGGTTGAACTCTAACCCTGACCCTAACCTTAACCGACACCATTCCCCATCAGTCCTAGACATCAGCGGACTAAATGACATGGCTCCACTGACAAGGCCACAAAGGAGCCAAGCTTCTGTGGTTAGTTCACATCTGTAACAGCAGGACGGAGAGGACTGAACACTGTTGTAGTTTTTAGAAGAGAGCTTTTGAGAGTGTGAGAGTTGTATGGATATGGATGAAACCAAGTTATGCTGATGGACGTACTTAAGCTATGGCACTTGTAAGTTCTTCATTTGAGCTGAGGTTTTTTCTTGAATTCTCTCTAAAGATTCTCCAGCTGTTCCATAATGCTAAAGCTTGAGTAATGACAGAAAAGAGATCACATCTGTCAGGTGTTAGCTTCATTGGCTCCCTATAAAATCCAGAATAGAATTTAAAATCCTCCTCCTCACCTACAAAGCCATTAATGGTCGGGCACCATCGTATCTTAAAGAGCTCACAGTTCCCTATTATCCCAACAAAACACTGCAGTTCATTGCCATCAGCTCTCAGGCTCCTCTCCTGTGGAACCAGCTCCCAATACATTTAAGATCAAGCTTCAAACTGTCTTCTTAAGTAAAGCTTCCCTTATTGATGCATCTATAGAGACTAGACAAGATAAGACCGCTGGGGGACTGATGCACCAAGCTCCTCTCCCCCTCTCCCTCTCCATCTATGCTCATTCATATTCCATTAACAACTTACTAACTCTTCTTCTTCTTTCTCTGCTGTTTGGTTTTCCTGGTGTCTCTCTCTCCTCCTCTTGGTCTCTGCAGGTCTGTCTGTCTCTGGAGATGTGCTCAACACCTGCTGCTTCTATTATTGTTATTAGTTTCGTTATTAGTCTCTTTCCTCTTCTTCTTCTTCTTAGTCCTATTACTTGTCCTATCATTTTCTTTTTATAACTGTTTTTCTTCTTCTTATTTTTTACACATCTTTATGTGAACCTCTCCCACCTTGAGTCTGGTTCTGTTCAAGGCTTTTCTTGCCACTGTCAGCAAGTCCTTGATCATGGGGAATGTTGGGTCTCTCTAAATAATATTATAAAGAGTACAGTCTTCAATCCTGTGCCAAGTGAAGGAGTTTAAATATCGTGGGATCTTGTTCTGAAGTGAGGGTAGAAGGCAGGCATTGTACTGGACAGTTGTGGTGAAGAGGGAGCTGAGACAGAAGACAAAGTTCTCGATTTACCAGTCGATCTACGCTCCGGCCCTCATCTGTGGTTGTGAGCTCTGGGTAGTGACCAAAAGAATGATATCACGGAAACAAGCGACTGACATGAGTTTCTTACTCAGGGTGTCTGGGCTCAGCCTCATCCAGAGGGAGCTCAGAGTAGAGCTGCTGCTACTTCATGTTGAAAGGAGCCAGGTGTGGTGGTTCAGGCAACTGATTAAAATGCCTCCTGGGCACCTACCAGTGGAGGTCTTCTGGGCTTGTCCAATTGGTAGGAGAACCTAGGGCCCAGAACATGCCGGAGGTATTTTATATCTCATCTGGCCTGGGAACGACTCAGGATCCTCCAAGAGGAGCAGGAAACCATCGCTAGGGAGAGGGACGTCTGGACTACCTTGCTTGGCCTGCTGCCAGATTGTAAGTGATTGAAAATGGATGGATGGATGGATGGATGGATGGATGGAGTAATGACTGAAATTGAACTGAATTTTAAGTTTGTTAAAATCACGAAGGTCTCAGTATCTTATGGCATCTGTAGCGGATGGAGATTTCTCTGATATGGAAACATGCTTCATCTTTTCATATAGACTGCTGCTAAATTAGGAATTGAATTGAGTTACTGAATGCCCGAACATGATGCCAGTATTTCAGCTCTTTAAAGTTCAGACAGGGTGTGGTCAGTAATACAATGGGGTGTGGTTAATTGTTAATTGGGTGAGGCTATTGTTTCAAATTGCATATATGGGTGTATGGGGTTTAATTGGAGCGGGGTTATATATTAGTGTTTAAATGAGATTTCATCCTTTAAGGTCAGGTTCAACTTCAGTGCAAGTTCAACCAGTTTTAGTGTTTAATGTTAGTTTAATGTTAGTTTAATGTTAGTTTAATGTTAGTTTAATGTTAGTTTAATGTTAGTATCAATGAGAACACCATGTTAGTATCAGTATTGAATTGTTACTATTTTGTTCAATATGTACGGACAGATTAATGTTGTGTCAGCGTTTAGAGTTCATGTTGAGACAAAACTTAAATTACAAAATATGTCATTTTTATGAAGTAAAAACAAACAACAACTTATTAAACATGTCTATTTTTTTTACATGTTTCATGTTGACTTGTTTACATGTTTACAGTTCAGATGTCAGTCAGCTGATGGATGAAGCCTCTGGTCGTCTGTTAAATGTTTTACGTTCTGTTGTTCAGTGAAGTTGAATCCTGTGTGAAATACAAAGTTTCTATTTATAATAAAATTGCTGCTTTTCATTTTGATAAGAAAATTGATCTAAATGGACACACAGATAGTGGATAGACAGACAGGTAGGCAGGTAAAATGGATAGGTGTTTTACAGGTGTACCTGGCTGAGGGCAGGATGATGCATTTCTTGCAGGTGGCGTTGTGGTGTCCCGCCAGGTGAAGGAACTCCTGATGTTGAGGCTGAACGGCCGAGTTTACAAACAGATTTTGATTCTGCACAAGAAAACATTTAACATCAAATCAAACAGAGATGAGAGGAGACACCTGTTCAGCTGCTTTTCACCTGATGTTCACCTGATGTTCACCTGATGTTCACCTGATGTTCACCTGATGCTCAACTGATGTTCACCTGATGTTCACCTCATGTTCACCTGTTGTTCACCTCATGTTCACCTGTTGCTCAACTGATGTTCACCTCATGTTCACCTGATGTTCACCTGTTGTTCACCTGTTGTTCACCTGTAGTTCACCTGTTATGGGATAAGGGCACTCAGAAAAAAACACTGTATAGAAACAGGGCCCAATGAGACACAGACTCAACATGTCTAAGGACTGAAGTTAAAGTCTTGATTAAACTGAACACATTTGTCTAACTGACTGACTAACCTGACCTTCTCCATGCTTCCCTGTAGTGTTGTTGTTGCCTTACTCACCTCCTCCTCCTCCTCCTCCTCCTCCAGACAGCATCATGGTGGGACTGACAGATGACCTCCCCATCCTACTGGAAACTGGACTGGATTGTCCATCTCTGTCTTTACTGTCATGTCTGGGCAGAGACCTACAGTCTCCTACAGCGATACAACAGAGAAGCATGACATAATGAGACAACTGGGCAGCTGTGGCTCAGGAGGTAGAGCGTAAGATACTGAATCCTAAATAGCCCCTAATGTATCATTGGTGTGAATGTACAGTATATGTATGGTAGGAAAGTGCTATATGTGTAGGGAAGCACTGTATGGATGTATGTGTGAATGTGACTAGTAGTGTAAAGCGCTTTGAATGGTCTTTAAGACTAGAAAAGCGTTATGAAAATGCAGTCAATTTACCATTCCATTCACAATAAAACCTTCTGAGTCATTCATGTCAAAGACAACACAGGACCACTGATATGTAGGACAAATAACCTCAATGAGAGACAAAGAACCAGCAGAATTTGAAACAACTATGAGACAAAGAAGATAGAACTTATTTTGAATAACAAGGAACCCAGGAGAACATTCAAGATAAAGAAAGTATGAGAATTAAAGACCTGATCCTAAGTGATTCTGACTGCAGTCACATGACACAGTATCCCATGACACAGTATCACATGACAGCTGTGTCATCCTTGATAAAGATCTTTAGAGACACTGTGGTTTTTCAGTACAAATTGTTTTCTGGCTCTCAGTGAACTCACTGCAGAAACTAAACACAAATGTTTCCTCTGTAGATCGACAACCAGACTCATAAAAATTCTGACACTTGAGTTAGAAGTTAGATATAAAACTACCAGGACCTTTAGGTGAGACTATTTTAGTAACTGTTTTGTAACTGTGCTGAAATGTGCTTGGTGGAGCTTGTTGGGTCACAGTGAACCTGAGAGACAACGCTGGAGAAGACAACTCCAAGGTCCTCAGACCTCAATGTGTCTATGAGAAAGTTTTGGTTGCTTAAGTCAAGGTTTGATTTGATTTGACTGGAGACTTCAACAGCTCTGAACCTTTCAGGTCAGCTGTAGTACTGGAGTACATACCTTCACCCTCCCTGCTCTTCCTGCCTCCTGAGCCTCTCTTCACCACCTGTCTACCTGAGGTAAACAGGTTGTTGAGTTCGTCCAGTGGACTTGTTGGAGTCTGCGACCTCGACACATTCTGCATGGAGCCGTGGGTGGAGGAAGAGTTACTAAGTTTAGCTCCACCCTCCCCTGCCCTGTGTGAGGAAGATGAAGATGAAGATGAAGAGCGAGGCATACTGCCCCCGGCCATCAGGGCGTCATATGGTGGCGGCCTCTTCAAGCTCAGAGGGGTCAGAGAGCGACCCATGCTGACTGGAGATGGACAAGCTGATTGGCTGCGGGGGTAACCATGACCACCGTGGGCAGAGCCAGATGACTTGTAGAGGTTGGAGGGGAGGGGTGGAGCTGACGAGCGGCCAGAAGATGTGATGGTGTGGGTGGACGGCAGGTCTCGGTCTCGGTCTCGGTCTCGGTCTCGGTCTCGGTCTCGGTCTCGGTCTCGGTCTCGGTCTCGTTCTTTGCGGTGATGGGTGGAGCTCTGCGGGTGCTCAACACTACCAGACTTGCTGTAAGAGACATTTTCTAACATGGGCAGCCGGGTGACATCTAAGGGTGTGAGGGGGGACTCATCAGAGTTGGGGGAGCACTGAGCAGGGGCAGGGGGGAAGACGAGCAGGGGTGGGCGGTGAGTCAGGAGATTAGGGAAGGGTGGAGGGATGTCACAGAGAGATCCACGAGACCAGGACTCAGGGTCCATGATGGTGGAGTGACCGTCCTGCAGGAAATCCTCCAACATTGGGTACTTCATTTCCTCATACACAGACTCGCTCTGCTCATCCTCCACCCCCTCCTGACCTTTCAAATCTCGCAGGATGTTTCCCACCATCTCGATATAAACTGGCTCCTCATCATCCGTGTCTCTGGACGCTGGACTCTGACTCTGGGATGAAGACTTTTCCCACCTCAAGGAAGACTTCTTGTTTCCATGGTTATGGATGTAGGAGTCATCGAAGGAGGTGCTGAGCTGAGTGTTTGGGTTCCTCTTCGGTTTAGGTGGAGGCATCTTCTTGTAGTCCTCAGTGTAGAGAGGGCATCGAGCTGCAGGCAGACAGCCAGACAGACAGCCAGACAGCCAGACAGCCAGACAGACAGACAGACAGACAGACAGACAGACAGACAGACAGACAGACAGACAGACAGACAGACAGAGACAGAGAGGCCTCAAAGTCACCATCAGAATAAAATTATTTCCTCTTTTAAAAATTGACAGTATCTTTTTGTCTTTAATAAAATGTGGATCTGTCCTCACCCTCCGCCTGCTCCGCTGTCTCTTTGGTTTCTTGGTGGTCTCTCCTGGAAACTCCAGAGCCTCCATTTACCATCTCAGAGCTGCTACTCAGTTTGGTGTTGGGGTCTCTCTTCGGTTTGGGTGGGGGCTGTTTTCGGTTGTGGTTGGAGTCGTCATCTCCTCCTCCCACTGAGTGGAGGGACTGGGATCGGACGGTGAAGCCCTGGCTTGGGGGGGGCAGTCTGTCCTGCGGTGCCGGCATTGTCATGAAACCCATCCTGAAATGTTTCCCAGAGTACGCCCCGTCTGTTGCCATGGCAACATCTTCACCAATCCTGGATGGACCAATGGAAAGATGTGTCACTTCAAACCTACATTTATCAACCAATCACACAACACTTTCTTAAATACACACAAGTCTAATGTGACATCAAAACCCAAAATTTATCTGATTAAGACTTTACAGCAAACAGTAAGAGTAACATCCATCTATAGTGTTTTATTTTACCATGCTTCATTTAATTCTGTTCAAGTGGAAAAATAAAATCTAGCTGTATATTGATCAGAATCTGAACAGACTGATGTTGTCATGTTGTGGTATATCTTTTTCTTTTTATGGAGTTTCTCTTTATAAAAATCTAACTATGATGATGCTGCAGTCCGGGGGCCTCATTTTAATTTTGTGAACACACCAGACATGAGCACCACTTTCCATAGAAAAATTGAGATTTATAAGAACAAACTTGATGGATGGATGCTGCACCTGTACAGAAACATTTGAACCTGGCATATGAATATTTAGGTGACAGTAAAAACTGTTGATGCTGATGAAAAGGGGCTCTATTCTACACCTTGTGCAAAGTGCATTGCAAGTGTCTTTGCCATTTTCAGACTGACGCAGTTGTAATTTTCCTGTCCAGCGCCGATGTCGTTTAAATAGCAAATACACTTGTGCTTATCTGAGTGCCCATGGGCCTGTTGGTCTTAAAATGAGTTGTGGTCAGGCACATTGTTGGCGCATTGCTATCGTGAGATAGCAGGAACTGACCAGCAAAAACCTGGTCTGAAGTCAGTGGTGCCCTCTTAAAAGGAATGGAAGATGGCACTGTAATTTGGTTTATTGGATGTTAGGCCCAAAACACCGGAATGAATGTTCAGGGTCCATAAAGATTCAGATGAGTGTGTCATACACCATTTTGGGCTTTTTTTTATGGATTCATGTCCACAAAATGTCCTTATTATATTACCAGATCTGACAGGGTAAGTAGGCTTACGTTTCAAAATAAAATCTGCTACATTTCAACAAGCACATTTCAACTTAGACAACACGTTGCCATTTAAAATCTGTGAGTTAATAAGAAACAGTCTGAGAGTTGTAAAGACAAAATAATATCATTTTTAAGGTTTTGTGTGTTTTTGTTTTTTCTACCTCTTGATGGCTTCCTCCTGCCGTCTCTTTTTCTGGTGTTTTTCCTGCAGGTAGGTCCAGTTGGTCTGGTTACGAATGCGGTCGCTCTCTCTGGCAATGTCTGAGGCATTCTGGATCACCAGGCCATCGTATGTTCTAAGTCCACTGTCCTCCACATACTGAAAAAACCTCTTGAAGGAAGATGCCTCCTCCTGAGATGTCATGACTCCCCAAAAACCTGCGAGCAGGATCATACAGGACCAGGTGATATTATAGTTTGTCTCTGTGTGAGTCTAAACACACCGCAAACTGTAAACCTGCACAAAACTCATGATTCTGTCCCTCTGAAGATACACCCCAACACAGTGGCGGATCTTATAAGTTGCAGAATTTGCCAATGACGTCCTCTTTGACCACTAGTCAGTGTTGTTTTGTCTTAATCATTAATCTTTAAATGCCTCTTAACCATAACCTCCATCTAACAGACTGGAAAACTTTGTTTCTGTTTTAGTTTTATTGTCAGGAAACATTGCTGAGACAGGTGAAAAGAAGATAAAAAGATTAACATCTGTAATCATCAGGATGCAAACATATGTATCCCGTATCTTTATTGTTCCACAAAGTTGATGATAAGATCAATGCTATACAGTTAAACTGGAACGCTATTGACAAATGGATGATATGTGAAATGTAAAAATGACTAGACCTATATTTTTTGAGTTGCGTATTTACATTGTCCCAATTGTTTCCAATTCAATTCTCAAACCTACAGAAATATGTATTTTTAATCTTGGTAATGGTATGTCATTGGGTCGCCTGTCAATGACATCATATCCCCTACGCCCATGGGTTAGCATTGTGGTTGTCTGCCAGAGGCTCAAAATTGACTTATCTAGTTTTAAGCCACATACACTTTTTATACCTCTGTCGTTTTCAATTATATATTTGAACCAGAAGGATTTTAGTCATCAGACGTCTGGATCTCTGGCAAAGGCAAATGCTAGGCAGCTGAGCTCCCAGCTGCTGGAGACATCCAGTCTGGTGTCTGCTGAAGAGCGTCAGTGAATCATTGATTTTGTTACAACTCTGCCGCAACTTTATTTTCTCCCCTTGTGTTACCTTGTTTCCCTTGAGTTTCCCCCTCCCCTTTTGGTCTGTGTGTGTTGGCGTGGCCTCCCTCTCCGCTTGCTCCTGGCTCTTGTCTCAAGGCTCACCTCCACACCTGCTGCATCACCTCATTAAGACTCCAGTTCAAGTACCTTGGCTGATTCTCTACTCATCACCAAATTGTTCAGTCTGCTTTATGGTACATATGCTCTCGGCTTTTCTCTTGAGAACTAGTTTCTAGTGTTTCTAGTTGTTTGTCTCAGAACCTTTGCTTAATGTCTTTTCCTCTGTGTCCACGATCTCAGTGCCAGTCTGCTGTTCTTACTACCACTGCTGCCCTTCACTCAGCCTGCACCCCTGAATCCCTCCTCAGCCAGTCTCCACTGGCCTCACTGCTACCACTGCCATTCCCTCTGGCTTCATCCCTGCTTCACCCAAACCTAAGTCAGCTGCCAGCCCTCTCCAGCCGTCAGCTTCACCTGGTTTTAATCTTGTGACAATAAACCACTTTACCTTCACTCCATCTAGTCTGTGTCTGCATTGGGGTCCAAACTAATATTAGCGCAGCCGTAACAGATTTTTAAAATAGACTGCTTTATTCATTTACTGGTTTCATCCCCTGGTCTGTTTGGTATTGACAGGAGGACACCTCTGTGGATAATTCGCTGCTGGTAAAAACCTCCTGAATGTCTGGTTCATGAGTTGCCAGAGAAACAATCAAAACAAAAGTTAGCAGCAATCTCAGCTCCCAAGTCTTCCCTGAAGTCTTGTCTGTCACTGAAGGAATCCAAACCGTGAGGAGCTTGCGGTAATGGTGGTGAAGACAACAACTACCATGATCCCATGCTATTTCATGACATAACCCAACATTGTTACTGTTTTGATTGACAGACCCCTAGAGGTGGAAGTTACCCACTGTGTGTTTAAGTCTATTTTTATCAATCAATGATAATGACTCACTGATTTCTTTCATCGTAATGTGAATTGATTTGATTTTACTTTTATCACATGTGGAGTTAAGTTACTGCAGTCAGACATGTTTTATAAAACATGAAGCTAATTAGATCAACTTCCTGAAAACTACAGATCGGCCAGCTGTGATGGTGAAGAGTGATTCATGTCACTTCACTTTGATTTTAAGCGTGCTCAGTTTGTTAAAATAACAGGAGCTGTTAGTCTGGTCAGAGCTTTCAGTCAGTATCCATGGTCATCATCCTGAAATAAACAGCAAAGTGTTGATGCATTTCACAGATCTCCCAAAAAGAAATGTTTCTTGTGAAGAAGTCTGCAAGTGGACCTTATTATTTATTAAACTGGTGTGTACAGGTATGGACAGGTGTGTACAGGTGTGTGCAGGTGTGACAGGTGTGTCTAATCAGCTGAGTACAGATGAACTGCTGATGTCTCTGTTACAAACTGCTAATACTGTGTCCTCCTGACCAGCAAAACCCTGGGTTCGAAAAGTCAAAATAATTCAGCATGTATCCAGCATCTGATTTTCATGTCGTTTTACACGTTTGATTCACATTCACCACATATGTTACCAAACCCAAAACATCAGTAATAACACCATCCAACCACTTCTCTCCTCCCCTTTAGTTTTTTTACAAGCACTGCCTGACCCACAGAGAAAGACCTGAGTTTCCCCTTCCTGCCTGTCTGGTTCGGAAAACTCCCTGTTTGGAAAGACCGAGACACCTCTGGCTTTACAAGAGACAATCTAGTAGATAGATAGATAGATAGATAGACGGTGATAAGCTGGAAGTTTGATGTGTCTAATGGCATTCAACTTAAGGATAGACTCCAATTTGCCCGAAGTAAATTGAGGTCCATTGTCCATCACTACCTCATTAGGCATCCCATATGATGCAAACACATTCCTCAGAACTTCAATTGTCTTGCTGGCCGTGGTGGTCTGCATATGAATTACATCAGGCCAGCGAGCATATGCATCCATAACAACCAGAAACATCTGCTTATTGTCCTCAGCAAAATCAAGGTGTATTGTCTCCCAAGGTTAAAGAAAGCTGGGAGGAAGGTCTGAGCCCAAGTAAGAATGAAGTTCAGTACATCCTAGAGCAAAACTCCACACACTGGGGTGGTTGTCACAGGAGAATTTGCTCAGGGCCCAGGAGCATCAACAGCATCTGTACAACAGAAAGACTAGATTGAGACAATTAGCACCAGGAGATAAAGTGCTTGTATTACTCCTTTCGTCCAACTCTAAATTACTCGCAAAGTGGCAAGGGCTCTTTAGGTCACACGGTGAGTGGGCGATGTCGACTATTAGGTTGTGCATTCTGATAGGGGAGGGGTACCACAGATCTACCACCTCAACCTCCTCAAAGCATGGAGAGCGGGGGAGCCTGTCTCTCTGGTGACAACGGTAAAAGAGAGATGAATTGACCTGAGGTACCAAATTCCACCAATACTGACTCGCTCCTTTGTGATGGCCAGCTCCCACCATCCCAGAGAGCAGATGTTCCCAGGTTGCAGCAGCGTTATGCTGATGTGTTCTCCCCTCTGCCTAGCTGCACAAACCTCATACAACACCATGTTGAGACTCACCTGGGCATGACGGTGGGTTCATGGTCCTTTCTGAACCTGAACGCAAAAGAAAAGTGGTTCAGGAAAAATTGAAAGCCATGCTGAAGATGGGAGTAATAGAAAAGTCCCACAGTGCCTGGTGTAGCCCTATTGTTCTTGTGAAAAAGACGGGTCTGTTCAGTTCTGTGTGGACACTCAAAGGTGAATGGTGTGTCACAATTTGATGTCTACCTGATTCCCCGGGTCGATGAGGTCCTGGATTGGTTGGGCACCACTCGTTTTTTTATGACACCGGATTTGATCAAGGGCTATTGGCAGATTCCCTTCTCTCTGGAGTCCAACAGCCTTCTCCACTTGGGTTGTACAAATTTGTTACACTTCTGTTCAAGTTGTTCAGGGCCCTGGCTGCCTTCCAATGCCTCATGTGTGCTGCGTCCACATGCTGTATATGCCTCTGCCTATTTGGACGGCTTTATCGTACACAGTAACAGTTGGGTGGAGAATATGCAGTGGGTGGCTGCAGCGCTTGACTCACTAAGGCAGGTTGGGATCCCAAAAACCAAAGAAGTGTGCAGGTGGACAGAGGGAGGTACGGTGTATGGGGTACCACTTGGGTGGCGAGCAGGTGCGTCCCCAGGTAGATAAGACCGCAGCAATTGCAGCCTGCCCACAGCCCAAGTCCAAAGTTTGTGAGGAAGTTGTTGGGGTTGGCAGGCTATTATCAGAGATTCATTCCCAACTTTGCCGACCTGACCAGCCCCCCGGCCGATCTCACCCGAAAGGGTGCCTCAGATCTGGCCCAGTGGATGGAGCGGTGTCAGCTGGCACTTGAGAGGGTGAAACAAGTCCTCTATGGGAAACTTCTTCTCCACATTATATTGGCTATCCGGTTAGTGGTCGATGCTCTGCGCTCATATCTGCTGGGGTGCCCATCCACCCTCTGTTCGGATCATGCTCCTCTCCAGTGGCTGCACCGCATGAAAGATACCAACACCTGGATCACCCAGTGGTATCTGGCTTTGCAGGAGTTTAAGTTCAAAGTGGTCCATAGGCCGGGGGGCACAGATGGCTGTGGCTGACTTTCTATCCCATTCCAATGGTGAGGGGAGGGGGTTAGGCCAGATGGCTCCCTGGCATAAGTCCGGCTGTGGGCATATCTGGGAATGGGCATGGTCGGCAGGCAGCTGCAGGAGAGATAGGGTGTGGAGAGGATTGATGAAAGCAGTGTCAGGTGAGGTGATTGCTCAGCTGTTGCTCGTTAATGATTCTCTTCTCCTTTTAATGCAGTAGCGTGCTGGAACACAGGGGACTCACATACACACAAAGGAGAAGGATGGCCACAACGAGCCAGGACAAACTGTTGAGAGAATAAGAGAGACCGGAGTACGTGCGCCAAGAGGCCGGGCAAAAACAGAATCAAGAGAAGTTTAAGTTCAAAGTGTGTGTGTGCAATCCAGACAATTAATATCATTATTTTGAGTCGGGACAGTGTGTGTGTTGGGGGAATTCATGGTGGCAGCAAGTCCTGTTACATTCTGATATCACAGATACTGTAGCTACTGTGTCTACTTTCATTTTTAGCTGTTTCTCATTTACTCTTACATATACATAATAAGGTTTCTCAATTTCAGCATCACCTTCAGAACAAGAGTCCTCGCCCTCAGAGTCTATAGAAAACAGTTCAGGCCCACTGACATTGCCTGGTAGTCAGTGACAAAGTCTGGTGTTGTTGACTCTTTGAAGCTCCAGACCTCTGTCACTCCAGCTGAATAGGTGAGATAGCAGACTCTGTCTGCAGTGATGAGATGTTTTCAGGCAGACCGCCAGGTAAACAGGTGTCCGCTGCTTGTTTTTCCGACACTTCGGTTGCTGTTATCTGCCTAAGCTGTAGCATCCTGGTTTTTGGTCCACTTGGTCTGTTTATCTTCTCTCCCCTTGTGTCAGGAACAGCAGGCCTTGGAGATGTGTCCTTTCTTTTTACATGTCCAGTATTCCACCTCCTTACCTTTGCCAGTGCATCTGTAACATGACTTCTCGCTTAACTCCTTTCTAGCTCGGCCGCTTTTGAAATGGCGCTAGCCTGAAAGACTTCTTTCACAACAGCATCCTGCTTTGTCACTTCCTGTGCAAGTCCCATATCATAAGCTCCTGCCAATGTCAAGTCTTTAGTGTGGGCTGCATTTACCATTCGGTCGCAGAGTTCTGTACTTTTAACCCTGCACACAAATCTATACCTCAGAGAATTGTCTTCAAATGTCCCAAACTTGCAAGTAGCTGCCAGCTTCCTCAAACTTGCAATGTATTCACTTAAGGACTCATCCTCTCTCTGATTTTGGAGTTAAACTATTTTTCTTCCATAAAATTGTCTTTGGCACAAAATGTGCATGCATGGCAGTTTCAGTGCATCAGCAGAATTTGATTCTTTCTGCCCACGATAGTCAGGAACACAGACTTTTCATCTCCATAACTCAGTCCGTTTGAAAGATAGAACTGTTCTAACTTTTCCAAATAGGCTTCAAATCCGTCTTTGTTTTCATTGAAGTGACAATCTTCACTTTTCCTGAATACCGTTACTATCTTCAATGTGCTTCTTTTCATCTCAACGAGTTTTCACAATTATCACAATCTTTTTCCCGTGAAGTAATCCCATCCTTGTCGCCAAAATCTGTTGTGTCTCACAGAATATTGTGTGGAATATATCTCAGGTGAAAAAAACAACGAAGAAAGAAGCTAATGAACTATGATGACTACTATATTAGAGCCAGGGAAAATATGTCTGCCCTTGAGCAGCGCCTTGCATACAGTGATTCCAAAACAGAGCACAACATAACACCCCAAGACAGCAATGGTTGTTACAATACATTGTTGTCTGGTTCAGCAGTTTTACATACTTTTCTTTATACACCACAGCTCCTCCCCTGTAGTTAAAAATGTTCCTATTTTGATTTTCTTTTCTATTGAACCTTTCTCAAAAACAAATCAAAATACACTCACATGAGTGCTGAATACACCTTTACACAAGAAATTTCAAATTAACAACCTAGGGTGTAAATACGGTTGTGGTCCATAATGTGAGACTCGGATCTGCAGTCTCTTTCTGTCAGTCCACTATAAGTCCAGACGTTGATTAGGGTGCACATTTCTCTTTGGTTGCTCTGTGCATCCTGTTTTTGAAGGTTTTTACACATAATACATTGTTCTCTGGTTCAGCAATTTTACATACTGTTCTTTTATACACCACAATGGATTTGGGGTTCAGTTGATCAGACAAGGATTTCCATAAGTTTTGGATCATGTCACAAACATGAAGCAGGTGCTCTGTTGTTTCTTTATTTAGTGGGTCTGCCATGGTGAAACTACAATGGTGCATTGCTTTAAATGTTGTGGCGGCAACGAATTGTAGGACGACATTTCTCCTTTCCTTTCGTAAAGGAAGGTCCAGTGTTTCCTATGTGAAATGAGATAAGAGAGGAAACACTGAAACTTGTTTCCTCATCGTTTAGAGAACTGGACCAGCTCTTATTATGGCTGCCACTTTTACTTGTATACTTCTGGGTCATTTCACTCAGTTTGAAACTTCCTAAGCAAAAAAGACTTTTCAAATGCAGCCCTGGTCTGTGACTCAACAGCCCTCTCTTTGGACATTAAATGTCTGCTTGTCTGTTTTTGAGGTTGTGACCAAACATTAAGACTCAACCTTCCATTTAAATCTTGTTATATTTCTGGTGTGACCAGAAAAAAATGTTTCCTGTTTAAATTCAGCTGAACTGGTTTTAGTGGAACCAGTTCAGACCATCATCAGACCAAGATGACAGCCCAGACTGGTATGAACTGAATCATACTGGTCTCTAATCTGTCTCTGATATGAGTTTAAAAGGAGCTGATGGGTTCTTGTTCTTTTCTGTCATGTTCCGTTTCCAGTTTTCTTTCATTCTTCAGTCGTTCCCACAGTGATATAATCTCTCTCTCTCTCTCTCTCTCTCTGTAGTGTCTCTCTATCGTCCCCCTCCCCCACCTCTCTGTCTCTCTTCCTTCTAAAAATGGATCAGGGAGTCATTCGGTGGTAACCTAGCAACAGCAGCATCTCTCAGAGGAGTATGATGTAATGCTTCCTGTACACGAGAAAGGAGGAAGAGAGAGGAGGGGAGGATGAGGGGGACAGAGCAGAAGGAGAGGAATCAGGAAAAGGAGACAAGGAGAGGAAACAAGGGTAGGAAACGACGACAGGAAACACGTATTTGCTCTAACCTGAAGTTTTTAGTTAATTATTCAGCTCTGTGTTTAAACATTTGAAATCTTCACTTGAGTTAATTTGATCCAGATTATATTTATTTATTTATTTTTTTTAAATATCAATTTTATTGTTTTATTTTTCTAATATAAAACTGAATCAGTTTAACTCTGATCTTGTCTTGATCAGTCAGGTTGTGTCCTCACTAATTCAGTTGTAACATCCAAAACCTCATGTTTATTTCACTTTCAGAACAGAAATATAAAAACAGGTTCATCAATAACACTGATCAGATTGAATGGGCAGCCATATTAGATCATGTTTGATACAGAGCTACTTCCTGTTTGACCTTTGACCTTCTGTTCCGAAGAATTATCAAAAACATTTCGGGTATGTTTACCTTTGTTTAACTTTGAGCTGAAAACAACTCAAAATAATTAAAGATCCTGGTTTTAAACAAAGTGGAATTTTCCATTAATCTGTAACTTTGCTCTCAGGTCTGATTCAAGATGGCGGCCACATTGAAGCTGAAGCTGCTGATTTCAACAAAAACAGGGTGTGAAGGAGCCAGATCTGATTTGAACAGGCTTTATTGACACAGTCAGTGATGACAGCGGCAACTCGATGACAAATAGATCAACATTTTCCACCAGCAGAGACCAAAAAGGTGTGAATGATCAAGTAACTGGACGGATGAATAAAACCAGAAGAAACAAACATGATAGAATGAAGCAGCTGAGAGGAGGCTTACCGGAAGATCAGTGACGACTCAGACTCCATCCATCCTTCCTTCACTGTATCCTTCACTGTCTCCTTCACTGTCTCAGTCCTCCCTGTGCAGAGACAAAGATGGAGTGATGAAGCTTCTTGTCGTCCTCACAGATCTCTGCAGCTCAGAGGAAACGACAACTTGCTGCAGCGACTTTAATCCACAGCCACCCTTCAAAACCTCTGTGCTCCTATCCTCCCTCTCCTCCTCTATTCCTCTCCTCCGTCCTGCAGTGATATATCCTCACAGCTGTAAGAATCACACACACACACACACACTCACACCCTTCAGCCGCACACACACACATCCCTGACGACGGTCACCACAAGAGATGGGAGGCTGAAACCACGGCAACCTGGCAGCATCCTCACACTGCTGACTCCTCCTCCTGCTGCTGAGATAGGGAGGGGGAGGGGAGAGAAAAACAGAGAGAGAGAGAGAGAGAGAGAGAGAATGAAACATCACAAAGTTTTTTTTTGTTTTTTCATTTTGTTTGTTAGGAAAGGAGCAACAATGTTGGTTCACATGTGTGAAGAGATGTGTGCAGCTGTTTTTCATCCTTTCTCCTCCTTCATTTCCTACATAATGATGATGATATTAGCTGACATGATGTCACATGATATTTTAACATGATGACATCATGTGATGTCAAAGCACATGATGCTCTAACAGATTTCTGTGAGACGTTAAAGCTGCAGAGAAACTTTTGACCACTAGAGGCAGGAAGGGTCCAGAACCAAGAAATTTTTTTAACATTATATTTTTGAATATCAAATTAGTAACTGTTAATAGCTAGTATTTTTTTTCCTTTTTCTTGTTTTTAGCAAAAAGTAAATATCCAGAGAGTCTCTGAATACTGCCCCAGTCAAGGGTGTAGTCTGTGAGTAGCAGAAATTAACCTGTTACCTTAGTCCATATTGAAATAGACATTTTTTGCCCCCCTAAATTACATAATATCTTCACGGATGCAGTTTCAGGCTTAGCAACCCTGGCTCCCCATCCCCCCACCCATACCAGTGAACCAGTTCGGTTTCAGTAAATTGTGAAAACAAAGAGCTCCAGGTTCACTTTGCCCTCTGCCCTCTGCCACTGTATAATAGCCCTGACAGATCACATGATATTACACTGGGATGTTCAAAAAAACAAATAGATGAAACCATGGCCGCTGGTAATGACAGCAAGACCGGTGGATGAGGATATAACCATTGTACTTTTCCAGATGTAGAACAAATACATCAAACAGCAACTGTCTACTACACACAGACCCCCCCCATCCCCCAATAATAAGGTTGTATTTGATAATGACCACACAGATGTTACTGTAATAATAAAATTTAGTATATTGTGTGCGCACTCGCATGCCTACACAATATACTACATTATATTACTAATTTAACCAAACACCACAGAAATGTATATAAGTATAACAGCAGCCACCTTGTTCCAAGTGAAAGCTACCCATAATCCAAAGCAGTAAAGTTGTAAGAGCTCCAGAGGAACATAGTGAGCACAGACAGCAGACTGAGGGTCCATCAGAGCTGAAGTGGACCATGAAGAAAACTGAGTCTCTTTTCTGTTGATCCACTTTAACATAACTGAGAACCAAGTTTGGTTTGTTTAAAAATGACTACATAAGAAAACACTCTAATATTCTGTCTCTTCTAACTTTCTCTGTGAGTGATCATTTTACAGTAAATACAGCTGAAATCATGTCTCAGTCTTTGTCTTTAACTGAGGTGTTTGGTGATTTGTCAGACAACATTGTGGTTATAAAATCAGTATTTTAGCAGCAACAGAGCAGCAGCTCGGAAGTGACTGCTAGTTAACATGTACTCTTAGTGGGCCACATTTCAGTCACTCTTTCAAACTTTTTCTGTTGTCATGACATCAGAAACAGAAAAACATGTCAATGAGAACAGCTTTACTGTGAATTCAGCTGTATTAAAATAGTGTATATGTGAGTGCACAGGGGAGGAGAGAAGAACAGATAAAAAGCTGAAACCAGCTGATCTCTCCAGAGATGTTCGATTGGGTTCAAGTGACGGTTCTGGTTGGGTTCATTTAAAGACATTCACAGAGTTGTTCCTAAGCCTCTTATGCATTGTTTTGGCTGTGTGCTTAGGGTCATTGTCATATAGTAAGTGAACCTTCTGCCCAGTCTGAGGTCCTGAGCCATTTGGACCAGGCTTTCATTAAGGATAGCTCTGCTTTGCCCTGTCTTTGCCCTGTCTTTGCCCTGACCAGTCTCTGCTGAAAAGCACCTCCACATATTTCAGTTTTTCCTTTTTAATAATTTTGCAAAAATGTCTAAAATCTTCTTTCCGCTTTGTCATTATGGGCTATTGGGTGTAGATTGAGGCGGGACAAGATGAATATAAATGATTTTAGCTGATTTTGTTAGTAAATGAACTGGTGACGATGGCTTTGAAATATGAGCATAAAGGAGGCAGACGATTGAGAACACAAAGATTATTTTATTCTCATGAAAAGGGGGAAGCTATGAGAAATTATTGAAAATGAATATAATGACAAATAAAAAAAATAAAATAATAATTATAAAAAGGTGAATGAACTAACAATAGAGGGTCACATTATGGCACAGAGCAACCACTTTTCAACTTACTTTTCAAAATAAGGCTGGCTCTTAATGAGGTACACAAAAACAATATAAGACAGTATACCTCTCCTTCTTTTAAAGCCCAGGGAGGAAAATGATAATTAGCTTTTGCTAAATAATGAAACGCAGAAAAATAACAGATTACCTCAGGACAACCCAAACAAAACCTGCTAAGGCAACTGCTGTTTGCTCTTTGAGGAATCTTCAGCGCAAAGCTCCATATGTGCTTCTGCTCCAGCTAGCCAGTCGACCTGTGCTCCTCTACCGAGCCACTCTGGTGCTTCTGATGGAGCTGACCACATTCACACTCCAGTTGCTGCTCCAGCTAACATTACCTCCTCTGCCTTTGCTCCAGTCAACATTTGTCAGTCTGTCTGTTCTGTCGCTCCAGAAAATGATAGCAGTACAACCTCTGCCGCCCCCAACTAATTACTCCTCTACCTCCATACACTCCTCCATTGCTCCGGCTACAAACTCTGCTTCTTCCACAAGCCTGGCAGAAGTCCACTGCTCCAGTAAATGGTAAATGGTAAATGGATTTGCACTTACATAGCGCTTTTCTAGTCTTACTCACCACTCAAAGCGCTTTACAATACTTGCCACATTCACCCATTCACACACACATTCATACATCACAGTCACACACTGATGGAACAGCCGTCAAGGGCAAAGTGGGGTTCAGTATCTTGCCCAAGGACACTTCGACACGTGGACTGGAGGAGCTGGGGATCGAACCACCGACCTAGTGGATGACCCACACTACCTCCTGAGCCACAGCTGCCCCAAACACTCCAGTGAGTGTTGTAGGGATCTGACTAAGTCTAACCAACCAGATGACCCAGCTATTATGAAGCGCCGAAACGTTGCAGCTGTTTCCAGGTCTCAGGTACAGGCCACCTTGGTAATCTTATATGTTGTTCATGTTCTTGGAGGGTCCTGGAGAAAAAGAGAATGTCATCTAGATACACAAACACAAACCTGTCTAGCATATCTTGAGCACGCCATTCACCCGGTTCTGGAATACAGCGGGTGCATTGGTGAGGCCGAAGGGAATGAATCTACAATGCTACAATGCTACAATGTCATTTGGCAGACGCTTTTATCCAAAGCGACGTACATATTAGAGTTTATGCAACACAAGCAAGGACCTGATAAGGAGATAACAAGAAAGAGTAAGTGCCATGAGGCTAGCTTGAGTCCGACAGGACAAAGGAGCCAACAGGTAGTGCATAGAGGCAATTTTTTTTTTTTTTTTTTTTCTTTCCTTCCCCAGGAAGTTAAGTGCTACAGTGCTGAGAGAGGGCTCAGCAGTTTAAATGAATATTTGTTTCCGAAGAAGGGTTTTGTAGAGGCATGTAGTGCCATGTAGTGTAGTGGTGGTAGAACCAGACGCTTTGTTGTGAGTGCGGAGGTACTAGTGAAAGAGCTGGGTCTTGAGTCTTTTTTTGAAGATCGAGAGAGACTCAGCAGATCGGATGGAGTTTGGTAGCTCGTTCCACCACCGGGGAACAACGGAGGAGTAGAGTCTAGCTAGAGACTTAGGACCGTGTTGTGGTGGTAGCACCAGGCGCTTTTCCTTAGCAGAGCGCAGTGAGCGGGAAGGAGTGTAGACCTGAATGAGGCAGTTCAGGTATGCCGGAGTTGCTTCCGTTATTGCTTTGTAAGCAAGCATCAGAGATTTGAATTTGATGCGGGCAGCAACTGGGAGCCAGTGGAGGGATATGAGCAGCGGAGTGACATGAGCTGTTTTGGGCTGGTTGAAGACCAGACGTGCCGCCGCGTTCTGGATCATCTGCAGAGGTTTGAATGTGCATGCAGGGAGACCTGCCAGGAGAGAGTTGCAATAGTCAATGCGTGATATTACAAGCGCCTGTACCAGTTGGGTGGCATGTTCAGACAGGTAGGGTCTGATCTTCCTGATGTTGTACAGGGCGTATCTGCACGACCGAGCAATCGAGGCCACATGAACCTTAATCTGTATTTGAAGTGGTCCAGAGGTGTGTTGAAGGCAGACCAGGTTTTATATGTGTGTGGTTGTGTATCAAAAACGAATGACGACCTGATGAGAAAGCACCTGCAAGACCCCAACTCCCCGGGTTATCATTCAGGAGTGGGAATGTGGGGTTCCCGAGCCTGGAGGACAGGGGCTGCAGGTGGCATTGGGTGTGGTTGTTCCTCCGCTGATGGTCCAGCTGCTGCGGCTAAGGGGTTGTAGTGCAGCGGCTTGGCCCAGTACAGCAACGGTGTTTCGGAAAACTGTGTAAAAAAAAACTAAACAAACTGGTTTGACATAACATCAGATTCCACACCAATGCAAAAACTGAAGAAGAATTTTCTGCTGTTCTGAAAGTTGGGCAGATTTGTGAGGATAAAGTCCCTTCTGTATGCCAACCACTGATCCTGACGTATTCTTACACAGCTCTTACGCCTGAGAAAATTAAGGACACCTGAACACTGTATAATATGTTGCCACTTTCCCCTTAACTTGTCTCCTCTTGGTTTCCTAAATGCAATTTGTAAGATCCAGCTCCAAAGCATTTTGGAGAAATGTGCAATGCTTTACATATCTCTCTCTCAAATTAAATCGAAGGCAACTGGACTTGTATTTGTCTGTGGAAGACGTTTCGCCTCTTATCCAAGCGGCTTCATCAGTTCATCATGTATTGGTCTCTCTAGTCCGCACTAGTCTGACCAAGAAAGTGGAGTAGGACCCAGGTATTTAACCTCTTGTGGGTGGGTCCACCAAAGTACCTGTGAAAGTACTGGTTTCACCTGACCATTGTTGTGGTCTCATGTGGACGACCGTCGTTAGGGTCAGGTGACCCTGTTGTTATCCTGTGTGAACGACAGTCGTTAGGGTCAGGTGAGCCCCTGGTGGATGACGATCGTTGAGAGTCGTCTGAGGTTATGTTGTTGACTCTCCTGGGTACCGATGAAAGGGCGACATTGTAGATGGGGGATAGATGGTGTCGCAGACCCCCTCTATCCCCCATCTACAATGTCGCCCTTTCATCGGGGTCACCTGACCCTAACGACGGTCGTCCACATGAGACCACAACAATGGTCAGGTGAAACCAGTACTTTCACAGGTACTTTGGTGGACCCACCCACAAGAGGTTAAATACCTGGGTCCTACTCCACTTTCTTGGTCAGACTAGTGCGGACTAGAGAGACCAATACATGATGAACTGATGAAGCCGCTTGGATAAGAGGCGAAACGTCTTCCACAGACAAATACAAGTCCAGTTGCCTTCGATTTAATTTGAGAGAGAGATAACTATGACCTGGACGAATGAGAACATTCACAGACAGAATGCTTTACATACTGTATATTTTGCACACTGCCTGTGACTGATGCTGGTGAGAACTTTCAGTAAGATAAGGCAAAGCAAGTTCCATTGCTACCTGTAAAATGGCTATTGGATCACTACACACGATGCCCACAGGCTCATTTCTAGTTGGTGTGTATACTTGGTTCAAAGATTTGCAGCTGATTTTACTCCTTTGTTATATCATTCTATAGATGATAATGTCATTTTATTTTAATTGAAGAAATTAATGTATATTTAAGTTATATGTAAGTTATTTATCAATGTCAAGACAATTTTACCATTAAAATTAATTCTGTAAAATGGCCTTAGCACATTTCTTATGGAGGATACCATCAAATATTGAATTTTATTATGTGCAGAATGTTGGATGTATGTCTGCACAGTGTTACATGTTCACATAGCCTGAGGTGGGGCCCAATGTAATATCTTTTCATGGGCCCCAAAATCACTGGTGGTGCCTCGGGCCGCCAACCAGAGCTGAGTCCAGCTCAGTCTTGCTCAGAAATATTGGAGGTTTTCATCATGTTTCACTCGGACTTCATGTCCTCACACATCCAGGGGAGTCCATCCTCTCAGTGACCCCCTCCAGGTTTCTCTGTTATTGTCCATGGAACTGGACCTGAAGCGGTGTTCTCTCCAGGACTCTACCCTAACACTCTCAGAAGGGTGATTCTTCCTGCCTTTAGTACAGAGATGACCCTCTGTTTTTACTCAGGTGGTTGCTCATATGTTTCCTCTCCTCCTTCCTTGTTTCCTGTCCTCCTCATGTACCTTCTTCTCCCCTTGTGTGTGTGACATCAGCACGTCCTATATTTATCCAATTACATGTCTTCATTGTAGTCATGTGATGTGCTGTGAGCTCTAGTGCAGTTACATAATTCAAGATTTAGTTTGATGTGAAATTATATTGGAGCAGCTTTGGAACAGCTGTTTATTCTTCTATTCTCTGTAAATATAAATGTGTGTGTGTGTGTGTGTATTTATCTATATTTAGATATATCTAAATAATGTATATACACACACACACACACACACACACACACACACACACACACACACACACACACCTATATATATTATATATATTAAATATATATATATTGAACAAACTGTATCATCATGTAACACATAACACATAAACTTGATAAATGTATAAAGCAGACTGTGTGGAGCTGTTTAGATTCTGTGTTTATGTTCAGTGAAACATGATCTGAATATTTCAATGTTATGGCAACGTTATTATAGAATCAACATAGTGTCATTCTAACGTGATAACTGGGTTCTAACAGTAGACCCCCAGCCCCTCACCCCGGGCCGCGTACTGCGCATGCGCCTCGTTCTGCAGCAGTCCGTGTGTGTGTGTGTGTNTGTAGCAGTGCGTGTGTGTGTGTGTGTCTGTGTGTGTGTGTGGTGTGTGTGTGTGTGTGTGTGTGTGTGTGTGTGTGTGTGTGTGTGTGTGTGTGAGAGTGCGTGCATGTGTGTGTGTGTGTGTGTGTGTGTGTATGTGTGTGTTTGTGTTCAACCAAACAGCTCACCAAGGCTCACTTATCCGACGGATCGGTTTAACCCGGCTTTTAGCCTGCTCCGCGTTGATTAGCCCGGATCTGTTCAAACCCCTGCGCTAGCATGTTGTCCAGTCCGCAGGACCAGAACCAGGAGCCGAACCAGGAGCAGGAAGAGGAGAGGAAAGAGGAGGCGAAGGCTGAGAAGACAGAGGTTAAAAGTGAGGAAACGAATGAGGAGCAAAATAAGGAAAGGAAAAAGGAAAGCAAGAAGGAGAAGAAGGAACCCTGGAATTATTGTATCTACAACCCTACCACCGGAGAGTTCCTGGGCCGGACCGCCAGCAGCTGGGGTAAGACAGGCGGCCTGGAGACAGGCTGCGAGTCCGCTATGAGCGGTCCGGGAGCTCTGAGACACACGAATCTGTCTGTCTGTGTATTTTTATCACAGTACATAACAGTACATCATAGAAAATATATAGTACACAACAGAATATTAAAGTACATCACAGTACATAACAGAAAATTACAGTACATCACAGTACATAACAGAATATCACTGAATATTACAGTACATAACAGAATATTACAGTACATCAAAGAATATTTGAGTATACCATAGTACATCACAGTATATGACAGTATCACAGAATATTACAGTGCATCACAGTACATCACAGAATATTGCAGTATATCCCAGTACATGGCAGAATCGCATCATAGAATATAACAGTATACCACAGTAGAGATAGATAGATAGATAGATTGAGATAGATAGATAGATAGATAGATAGATAGATAGATAGATAGATAGATAGATACTTTATTTATCCCCTAGGAGAAATTCCTGTGTCCATTAGCTCATTGTTGATAATAATAATAATAATAATAATAATAATAATAATAATAATAAAAAGTCAATAATAAATAAACAATAATAATTAAATTAGTCCACTTTCTTTGGCTGACGTGTTGTATAGCCTGGTGGCAGTGGGAACAAAGGATCTCCTGAACCTCTCTGTTCTGCAGCGCAGTGAGATGAGATGTTTGCTTCTGTAGCTGCTTCTCTGTCCTGCCAGAATGTGCTGGAGAGAGTGGTTGGTATTGTCTAAGATGGCTTCCATCTTACATTGCATGCATCTCTCCACAACAGTCATGAGTGAGTCCAGACTCCTGCCAAGCAGAGACCCAGTCTTTTTTACCAGCTTGTCCAGTCTCTTTGTGTTCATGTCGGACATGCTGCTGCCCCAGCAGACTGCAGCATGAAAGAGTACACTGGCCACCACTGATGATAAAACATGTGCAGAATTTAACTGCAGCTGTCAAAGGAACTGAGCTTCCTGAGGAAAAAGAGCCAGCTCTGCCCCTTCAGGTAGATGGCATCCGTGTTCAGGGACCAGTCCAGTTTACTGTCCAGGTGCACACCTAGGTATTTATAAGTGTGTACCACCTCAATGTCCTTCCCTCAAATGTTGACTGGCTGAAGGGTGGGCCTAGACCTCCGAAAGTCCATGACCATCTCCTTGGTCTTGGAGGTGTTCAGAAGGAGACAGTTCTTGTCGCTCCATTCACTGAAGGCCATCATCAGATCCTTGTACTCCTCTTCCTGCCCATTCCTGATACGTGCCACAATAGCTGTGTCACCCGAGTATTTCTGGATGTGGCAGGATTTAAAGTTGGCCGTATACAGAGTGAACAGGAATGGAGCCAGAACAGTCCCCTGTGGAGCCCCAGTGCTGCTCATCACTGTCCCTGAGACACAGTTACCCAGCCTGACGTACTGTGGTCGTCTTGTCAGGTAATCCACAATCCAGGACGTGAAGCAGGGATCCACCCCCATCCCTTCCAGCTTGTCTTTAAGAATCGGGGGTTGGATGGTGTTAAATGCACTTGAGAAATCAAAGAACATAATCCTCATGTAACCACCTGGCTCATCCAAGCAGGAGAAATAATGTTCTTTGGCAGGTTGTCTGGGTTCCAGGAGGAGAAAAGGATGAGAATCACTGCTACTTCATGTTGACAGGAGTCAGCTGAAGTGGTTAAACATCAGGGCCTGTATTCATGAAACATCTTAAGGCTAAAAGTAGCTCTTAACTTGCCAATTTAGGAGAAACTCCCAAAAATAATGGGTGTGTCAGTCCTAACTTTAGGACTCCTAAAGTAACACTTGCTAAAAGTAGCACCTAAGTCTGGGAGAATTTAGAAGTAGTCGAGAGGACTCCTAACTAAGACCAAAAAAGACAAAAAATCATAAAAGGGCTGCTGTCATTCCATGTCGTGATTTTCTGGAAACCTTAAACGATGCTGAATTACTTAAAAGATACAAACTCAATCGCAAGGGGATAATGATCGTTGTGGAGTTTGTGAAGGATTAAATACCAATACCAAATACCAATCTCCAACCAACCGAAACAACACCATCAAAGCAAAATTAAATGTTTGGCAACGCTGCGCTGCTTGAAAACAGAGAAAAAGCAACTTTGCAATGCTGACAACTTGCGATCCATTCATTAAACAACAGGCTAAATGCTCTCAAAGACAACATCATAGGACAATTCATACGATTTCCTTTCGATCTTCAACAACATAAAGAAAAGCTGCTTCATGGTCGGTCTTCCCGGTGTGATCGGTGTAACACATGTAAAAAAATCATTAGACCATCACAAGATGAGGAGGCATTTGTAAACAGGAAAACAAAATCACACCATCAACACACAGGTTGTATTTGATGCTGCCTGTACTGTTATAGACATTGTTGTACAGTGAGGATCTAGGCAACACATAATTCATGGATTTTAATGGAGAGTGTCCTAAGGCAGCTGTTTGAAAGCCTCATATTCCAGCTGGATGTCAGTTGGTGGGGTCAGTGGATATGTTCTCACACCTAAACCCACAGCTGGGACCACAGCTACATTACAACAGGTAAAGTTACAACAGACTGTGAGAATAGGCTTATAGACTGCCCGTTAGCTTTAGTTAGGTTGTCTATGAGATGTGAGTTTTTTTGTTGTTTTGAGAGAGAATTGAAGGTAAGTTTTCATTGTAAAATTAAATTCTCCAGGGTCGACACAAACATTATCATACAGATGCATTTTGGAGAATGCACTACTTTTGTAAACAGCACCGAATCCCTTATTATTTGATTTGTATTCATTTATTTCTGAGGGTTTTTTTTTTAATTATTACTGTGGGATTGGTTGTGCATGTGTTTTCACCGGCACAGACCGTTCTTTCATCAAACCAATCTCTGTGGTTCCTGCAAGTGAGCTCGTCATTGATGTCAGCCACAGCAATGGAGTCGCACTCTTAGCTCAGGAGTTTTTGCTTTTCCTGTTGTGAATATGATTTAAAAGAAAACTTTTAGTTACAAACTTTTAGTGTGACTTATGAGTAATCTTAGTGGTAAGATAAAATGCTTTGTGAGTACGGGCCCTGATCAGCTTCCACTTGGAACCCATGTGGAGGGGGAGACTCAGAACACTGGAGGATTATATATCCCATCAGAGATACGGATGTTGGGACTTCTTTGATTAGTCTTCTGCCACCACAAATCACACCTCAATATCTGATCATGGAACAGGGTTTTTCCTGCATAGAGAATTTAGAGGCGGACGCCTCTGTCAAATTTCGTGCTGCCTCCACCTCCCGACAAAATTCTAGTACTCATGGATTTGACATTTGTAACTGCAATTGCGGCTGTACCCCACTAAGGCAATATATTGGCGCTGTATCGTAATCTGAGCATCAGGCAGAGCCATCCGAAATTTCCAAAAAAGAATACGAACGCGCTGGATTTTCTGCCTGCGGTAGGAGGCGGTGACCTGATTTTTAATAAGGTTGTCATCTGTCCTGTATAAAACTGGATCGTCCCGTATTTGAAAATAAAATGCTGCGTCCTGCCTCCAACTCCCAAAAAAATTATAGTACTTGTTTTCTCGGTACTCGGTGGATTTGAATTAATACAGGATGCACTTTGTCCCGTGTTTTCGTTCATATTATGTCCTCAAAGTGCTCTGAATAATGTAATGTCAAGTAAACCCAAACCAGTTGCCACCTTTTTTCACATTCAAGGTGGCAACCCTACAGATGAATGTTATCTTTTTTACATCCAAGCACACCCAGCTTCTTGAAAAGTTTCCCTAAATTAACGTTACATCCCATCATGTATGGTATGGACAGGTGAAACAGTGCAGAGTACAGACATCATTAGTTCTAATATGGGAAAAAATGGTAATTCATGTTACTGACGAGATACGGTTAATTTGTCAGGGCTGAAAGTAGGCTTAATTCTCAGCCCCAAAAGCCATAAAGTGTTTTTGATTAAGATCTCTGCAGTATATATATACCATGCCCCATGTGAGAGGGTACACTGCCACATTTTTGTTACAGTCATCATGATTGAACGTGAAAAAGAAGTAAACATTTGTATAGAACACATTTACATGTATTAAATAAAATAAAGAAAACAGAGTGATGTGGGGTTAGTCTGTTGTGGGGTTAGTCTGATCTGCAGCGACTGATCTGATTTGACGGGATCACTTAGTTAATTCCTGAAACACAGAATAAAAAACGCTGCACAACAATGTTTGTTTCCTGTGTTGTGTTTAAATAAAGTAATGTTTGAATTGTCTCCTCCAGGTCTCATCCTCCTCTTCTACCTCATCTTTTATGGGTTTTTGGCTGGAATGTTTTCTCTCACAATGTGGGTGATGTTAAAGACTCTGGACGAAAACATCCCCCGACATCAGGATCGAGTGGCCAATCCAGGTGAGTTAATGTGTAACCACAATTCTTGGTTACTTCACATCCATAAAGATGATGTAGATGTTTTTCAGATTTGAGTTGAAAGAGAGGCTTTGACGATAATTAAATGGAATTCATTCAGATATAAATTATAAAATCACAGTGAGGACACCGACTGGACAGGTGTATAACACTCTGAGAACACCTGATAGACAGGTGTTAATCAAGTTGAGGACACCTGCTGGACAGAACTGAAGCAGTTGTTGCTGGTTGTGTTTTCACTCTGCTGTTAAGGTCATTTTCAGTTTCAGAGTCTCAATCATTCTGTTTTCTGTGTTTGATTACTGATTATAGATTGTTTTTTTTGTTTTTTTTTGCAGGTTTGGTGATTCGTCCTCACGCAGCTGAAATCTCATTCAACCGCAGCAACCCAACAAACTACAACCATTACGTCAAACAACTGCACGACCTCCTGCAGCGTGAGTATGAGCGCACACATCACTTTGTCTTTGTGGTAATCACTGCTGGATTTTCAAAGGTGTGGTCTGCCCCCCAGCACAAGTGCTGATTGTCACCTTAACAATAAAGGTCCAGTTTTGTGTGGACAAGGAACTGATGTCTCCTCAAACATAAAAACTAATTATTATGATGTTGTTTATTTTCAGAATATAACGACAGTGTTCAGGAGCGTAATGACTTGTGTCTGGTGGGAGAATACACTGAACAGGATGATGAGCAGATAAAGAAAGTTTGTCAGTTCAAACGTAGTACACTGCGTCAGTGCTCCGGTCTGCCCGACACCAGCTTTGGATACGCTGAAGGGAAACCCTGCATCATTATCAAGATGAACCGGGTCAGCAAAAGCATTTTTCATTTTCACTCTTATTGTTTGACAATCTACAAAAGTAGTTGTGCTAATATTTGTTTACGATAAACTGACATGGAATGAATGATGATGAATAGGTAGAGGTGACAAACATTACAATATTGCCTTCATTTTTTAAACCTGTCAGTTCTGGCTAAGGTTTATATAATTTCTCATATCATGCTAATTGAACTACGATCAGCTGTGTGTTACTGTAATACTTTTTGAAATGACTCTAGTCAGAGTCAAGATCACTCACCTGAAGGCGTGACAGTTTCTATGGTTACTAGCAGGTTGAGATACCTAGAGCTCTGAATGTTAGACACTTTGTCAGTTAGGTTTTATTTTATTTGAATTTCACTATGAATAATTATGAATATAATATATATAATGTAGATTGTGAAATTACAATAAATAAAAGCAACAGCTGTCTGTCTGCAGGTCATTGGACTGAAACCACGAGGAGATCCCTACATCAACTGTACCGCCAAGGTAACACACATATTGTACATACATTATACAAACACACAAACAAACACATTATACACACATTAAAACACACGCTTTTATCCCAGTTATCCAGTGTTCCCATATTGCCCCTGTGAAGCTGAATGACCAACAAACCGTTTTTTATGAGCCGCTCGGTAACCAATCTGACACTGAGAAATGCTTTAGTTCTTGTCAAGCTGACAATAAAAATCCAAACATTGGATGCACAAAGAGAAAAATACAATAATGACATGTTTTAGAACAGTTTAGATCAGTGGTAATATTTGTAGTAGTTTTTAAATGTAAAAATATTTCTGTTGGTTACAGATATAACCCTCTGATGATATCTATAACACATCAAACACATAAAATAAATATACATATAAACTTAGTGCTCTAACCTGGAATTTTGTGTTTTGACCCACATCACGAGATTTCCCTAACCCTAACCAAGTGGTTTCTGTGCCTAAACCTAACCATTTTAACCCAAACAACATGGGAAGGACTGACACTGAACGCAATTAGAAAGGGTAAAGTTGTGTTATTTGATTGATGAGATTGGATTGAGTTAGTAGATAGTTTGATGTGAAATTTATTCTCGCTCTCCTCATTATGTTAATTGTTAATGTATCATTATCATTTTGTTTAAATAATATAATTTCTACCTGTCTCTGGTAGAGAGACAGTGTGTTACAGATGCAGTACTTCCCATCTGAAGGTCGGCTGGATAAAATGTTTTTTCCGTACTATGGCAAGAAAGCGCATGTGAGTAAAGACTGTGTGATTAGTTTACTATAAACTATATTGTATTTACTTTGGTGTATTATCATTATTATTATTATTATTATGTGATCTCTGTAAGTAATGAGATTCTCACTGTTTAATGTGTGACTAATGTGCAAGTCCTTCACATTTGCAGTTAGAAACATGGTTCTAACATTGACAGTGCATCAAATCATCATTAATACCTGAAAAGCAGCTGTTTATTGGCAAAATGCATAGTCAAAAGTTGATGGCATAGCACCACCCCTAGACAGTTTTTGATGATTTCTTTTACCAATACTTTAATACCTATATTTGTATTTGATGTTCTTGTCCCTTCCTTCGACTACACCAGCATCCTTTTTTACACGTCAGTCGTCAGCAGGGACAGCAGCAGATATTTTTCTGCTGAATCAACTCAAATTCATGTGACCTGGAATGAGCTAAAAACACGAAACTAAGCACAATAACTTTAAATGATGAACATGTGCTTCCCAAGAAAGATGAACCCAATTGGTCATATGGTGGCAGGGTAATTAAGGCCTGAATGCAATTATGGATAGGCCACGCCCCTCACACCTCAAGCTTGTTGATGTCTTATTTGGTTTTTAATATATTGACCAATGAACTTCAAAGGGGCGTGGCTCAGCACATACATTGACCAAAATCAACAACTGTTGGGCCAATCATTACAAAACCATGCAGGATGTGTCCACATCCACACCCTGAAAGTTTCATTCAAATCTACCACTAGCTCTGGGCGTGGTATAACACAAACCAAACTATAAGTCAGAAAATGTTTGATTGTGATGATTGGAAAATGTCCAATCATCACAACACTTGGTAGATATGCTGCACTATGTTTGTAAAATCATCTTGATATTGGCCAATAGTGGACACAACAAATCATTTCCATATGGCCTTATGGCATAATATTTTTGGGGGGCTTTTATTATGAAACTCTGTCTAGAGTCCAATCTAGATGAAAATTTTATCATGAGAACCCTGACAATATGGAGATCAGTGACAATGCATGACAGTCTTTCCAGTAGTGAAACAAATGTGATTATAATTAAGATAATAAATTAAATTATCCACAAATCTCCACTTGCATCTAGATGTATTATTATTCTTCTTATTATTATTGCAAACTAAAAACTTTCATAAAATCAGCTTCTTTTTATTTAGCAGAAGATGAGAAGCTTTTAGTCCAGATCAAATATCCTAAAAGATAAACATACATAATAATACTAATTACATAAAGTGTGTGTGAACCAGGACAAACTTTCCATGTTAACGGAACCTCTCTCTCTCTCTCTCACTCCAGCCATCAACCAACAAAGATCAATTTTTTCTTCTTTAATGTAGTTTCTCTTTTGTTGGTAACAGTGGCAGCTGGCAGTTGACTTAGGTATTTGTTATTGGTTTTGAAAATATATCCAAAGATGATATTGCTTCTGTTGGTTTTGGTATTAATCCTGTTACTTAATCCTTTCTGAGGATTATGTGAAGGTTACTTTGCAAAATGTCTCACTTTGTGACTCTGGGACATGTATTTCAGTTTGCGGGTGCAAATATGGATAATGCAGCTCCTCTTGCTTCCCAGGTTAGAGGTTGGTTCAATTGGTACTTTTGCTCTGTTGCTTAATAAATGGAGAGAAACTCTTATAGACAGTGAGTGGACACTGTTGAGTCAGTGCTGTAATGGCCCTGTTAAATCTAATGAGAGTTATGTTTTCCCTTCAGTGAATGTTTCCCCAGATTGCAAGGACTAAACAGGATTTTTTTTTTTTTTATGTGGGAATTCCTTTAAGATTTTGTTCCAAGATGCCAATACAAAGTCAATGTATAAAAGTTTTGCACAAGGACAAATTAAATGGTAAAACTGACACTTCATGGAGAGCTCACTTAGGTCTGAGTGGCAGTGTTGGACCTGAATAGAGAATTCTGTGTAAACTTCCACTGATCAAAACAGCTACTGACCTGCAGAGGAGGGTCTTACACGGTATCTGTTAATGCTTTTGTCATTGTTATTAACTCCTTGAACTTTGATGTGAATTCTGATGAAAGTTGATTACAACTTTTACGGCACTGCAAACAATGTGGAAGAGTTCACAAGCACATGGTGCCCTGAAAACGTTTAATGTTCCGTTGTAGAGAATGAACTGCTTTTTCGACATAAAACTATGTTTTTGTTTTTATTAATTTAATTTTATTTATCTATATCTTTCATTTTGTTTTTCTACAGAGTCATTGTATTTAGAAAACTCTGTTGTGAGCAAATGGAGATTTTGAATTGAATTTTCTCTCTCTCTCTCTCTCTCCATTTTAACCCTACATCTCTCTCTCTGTCTTTACAGCCTGACTATGTGCAGCCTCTGGTCGCAGTCAAGTTGTTGTTAACAAAAGATGACTACAACGTCGAGCAGACAGTGGAGTGTAAAGTCGAGGGTACAGACCTGCGTAACAATGATGATCGAGACAAGTTTCAGGGCCGTGTCACTTTCCGTGTGATGGTGTCAAAGTAAACGGCCCTGCTGGTTACCATGGATACCACAAACTGGGTTTACACTGGAAAAGCTCCAGTTCAGGACAATTTTTAATCCAGACCTGATTTATTCTTGGATGTCTGAATGCGGTTCATCCTGTTCAGAGGACCACTGAGAGATATATATGGTTACACTGCCAGAACCTTCATATTTTATCTTAACCGCAGTCCAGATCTTTTATTCAGTGGTCTAGATCTGCTCCAGTCAATGCAGATCAGGTCTGCTATGGAAGCATGTGAGCCATCTGTATAATGATGTGTTTTTTTTTTAAATGTATAAATGTGATGTAATAAATCAATGATATGATCCTAGTACAAGGTCACTTCAAAACATAAACAGTGAAATCACATAGAGGACCGAAAACCGAGTTCAGCTTTTCACTGGTTATGCTACAGTTTCAGTTGACATTCAGTTTGTCAGTAATCAGATTAATCACATTACTCAGCCTCCACCCTGAAACAGTCATGCCAGAGGACCTGCCTTTTACAATATTAATGACATTTACAGTACTGTACTGATAACGTGATTAAGTTGAGTTCTAAAACAGAAATCTGGATTTGTGACCATACAGACATTTCAGTAGTGCTTCTCTGTGTGAGTAAACAGATCTATAATGATAGTAATCTAATTGCTTATCTGTATGTAAACCTTGTAGAATAAACAGAGTAATTTGGTTTATGCAAAGAATTGCCAAACAATTCAGTACAAACCTTTAATAGATAAATAATAATATGAAATCTCATGAGTACAGAATGTTTCACCTGAATGCTAGGATTATAATTTCCTGTCTAAGACCGAAGCTCCAGTGTTAACAACCCCCCCTCCATACACACACCTCCCCCGAAACTCATGTGAGCAGAAATATTTGTGTCAGTTTTAGTTTTTCACAGTAAAAATGTTGAAATATAGTTTATGAATTGAATTAGTTCCTCTCACTGTTTCCAACCAAATGTTGTACAGTTTTTTATGTGATACCAGCGACTACTGTTGTGTTTTTATTGAACAAGATGACATGCAGGCTTGCAGAGGTCCAATTAGTCTTTAGTAAATCTGTTTTATCATCATGTCTCACTGCTGTTTCAATTTACCTTGATGTATTAGTTTCTATCCTGAATGAAAAAGAATGTGATGTGTCTGTCTGCTAGAGGAAGAAAAACAAGAACCATGATAATGCATCTACTGTGCTGCAAATAAAAGATCCAACAGTGTTATTTTTTATTGTAAAAATGTTTCTATCAGGTTTTATCACACTGTCTGTAGTTGTACTGTAACTTTGACTGCACAGCTATGGTGCCATAGGTGTGCCATAAAATTTAATAAATTTGTAAAAGAATAAGAAAATAAATGTGGAAATATAAACAGGAATGAATACAAGAATAAATGAATAAATGTGGAAATATAAAGAGAAATAAATAAAACAAAAAAAATGCTTTTACCTATTGCTTTTGCTTTTACTGTATTGCTTTTGCTTTTCCCACATTGCTTTTGCCTTTTCTATTCGAAGGAGAGGGCGCTGCCTGAAGATGGGCAGGCTGCAGTACAGTTACGCCCACTCCATGTTACGTCACACAGCTGTGTGAGACAGTACTAACCAGGCCCGATGGTGAGTTCCTGGATGGTAGTCCCAAATTCATTTATGTAGCCCAAAAGGAAGCTGAGATATATTGTATAGGTTCTGAGGTAAATATCCACCACGTTACAATACTGCCATCTAAAAACACTCTGGATCCCTTATCCTCTAGGGAATTAACCGATACAAACAATCCAATACATCACTTTACTATTACTATTTGATGTCATATCTTTAGCCATGTATTTGTGTGATTAAGAATTGTTATCTTTGTGTTAGTCAATGTATTCTATGTGTACTATTAAGCCATGGTAATATTGTTATTCCAGTTATTGTTCCTAGCAATAGCTATCTATTTCATGTACGCCATTATTAACAATGAACGGGCCATGGTGGGAGTAGGATATGTAACTCTCTTACATTTTTGTCTCTCACTTTACGCACTTGCTCACGTTTGTTTCTTGCCTTGAACTTCGTGTTACTAGTTTGGTAAAAGTTTGCCAATTTTTCCACGTTCTTTGTTCTCTTTTTCTCCTTTTTCTTACACGTTTTTTGTCGTTGTTACTTTAACAAGCCAAACCTTCCAAATTGACATTTTGCCGTTTTTTCCTTTTGACAAACTTTAATTTTGTTTAGAAGATTTTTGAAGGTTTTTTTTCATTTGGCCAACACCACTTCCTTCCAAAGTTATCTGATAAAAGTCAATTAAACTTTTCGGCAGTCAACATCCGGCCCTCCGGCTATACGCCTGACCCAGACTGGCTAACCAGATCTCGAGAGTGCCTACGGAAGAAAGTCTGCTGCCAGACTGCGCCGATGCTAAACCCACTGAGACATCGGCAGAGCCCGTCACCCCTGGCAATGGTCGTCATCTCCCAAAGAACCCACTTGGAGCTTGGTGTCCCGGTTACCTGGCAACATCAACTCCTGGGCTCCAGCCAAGATCTCAACAGCACACCGCAACTCAATAGGCAACTCCATCATCTGCTTTGAACTGGGGTGATGTCGGAATAAACTTTATAAATAAATAGATCCAATAACGATAATTCCTTGCCGTTAAGAATAAATACACTACACATAGCCAGATTCAGTCTCTTCCCACATCGCCCAATCTAACCACTAGTTCAGCGGTAGAAATAGGTATTGTTTGATGTAGTTTCATTTTCATTATCATTGTTCATTGTATTTCATCTGTGCATAGTAAGTAATTAAATCTTATTAACCTGACCCAGTCGTTGGTCTGTGTTTGCTTAAAGTGGAGATCGGAAATCATTGTAATCGAGAAATCACTACTTCTGATGTGAGATTGATCAAATTAATCCATAACTTTAATAAAGTTGTCCTCCTTGAGGACTGGTGCCCCCTTTTTAATGAGAGCATATTTGAAATTGTGGTATTCATGCTACATATATTGGTGCCCCATGTGAGGTGATTTCAAATCACCGTTCTCCACTACAAAGAAACCTGTTGAATGCTGAGAGTGACCTCGCTCTCTACCTTTTGATTCAATTGCATTTTGGCTTTGTTGCTTGGTACCTGTTGTGTGTGAGCATTTGAAACCTTGAAATTTTGCTTACAAATCCTTGAAATAAGCTTAGTGTTAAACTGTGTGGTCAGGTTTATAATAACGTGGACGAACGTTGATTAGGCTAAATACCGTTGAACAGAGTTATTGCGCTGACAGTAACTCCCCAGACCAGTGGTGGTGGTAGTGTACCTAAGCATACACCCGTCAACAATAGTGATAGTCTAGAACAAGTGTTGAAGCTAGAGCCAGTGAGCTTTGTGCTATTTGTCTGAAATTGCATGCGACAGTGTGATCATATGCTCATTGAAAAGGCCTGTTGGTGGATCATAGCTATTGTGTGTCCAAAGAGCCAGTTTTTAATCCGCCCTTAGTGTGGGTGGATTTGTCCTTGAGTCCCGGTGAATTCAGCCTGCCTCAGACCTTGACGGTAGCCTGTTAGCTTAGCTACTTAACAAGTCAGCAACTGTGACCTGTCGCAGCAGAGGTTCTATAAGTAGGGAGATTTAAATGCGTTGGAGATTTAAAAGAAAAGAAGAATAAATACAGAGGTGATTTGAATAAGAAATGGAAATAAAATGCTTTCTTGTTTGGGGTCCCAGAATGGACCTGTGTTGAAGAAATTAAATAAATAGCCTTGGGTACGGAGCGTGACCCTAGCTCCGTGAAAAATCTTGTGATCCAAATTGTGAGAGAGTCCTTGAAATAATTGATTTAACATCCCAAAATGGGATGGGAAAATCTGCTATTTTTTTTATTTTTATATTGCAGCAACATTTGCCCATTGGTGTGTGCTCGAGGCCGCAGTGCGTCACGATCTATTCTTTGAAAAGCTTAAAGTTTGTTGAGAAGTTGCTTATTTGGTGCTCTGTGCAAGACTAACCTTTTCTCACCTGAGCAGCTAAAGTCTTTTAGTTGGCGGTACTAACGCCGTCATTGCTGACGACATCCCTCTTCCTCCTCCTCTATTACCCTGATTTACAAACCAACACAGATAGATATCTGGCGTCCTCTGGTGGCCGATTTGGGTAACTGAGTTTGAGAGTTGGAATATTCAAACATGGACTGTGTGCATGAAACACATCATAATGTAGCACTTTAATGCAACCTTACACTATAAGTTGTTGTAAACAGAAACAACAATTTTATTATATCATAGACTGCTATTAACCTGCCATGCTATTGACTTAACCTGTACACTACTCTCACTTGAACTTTAGAGCCTAACACACCTGAAGTGAATAAAGCTAACTCTGTGCCTTATATTACACTCTTATGTCACCTAATGCTTAGTGACTTGAACTGTCTGTTGGTGTATGAACTCAATATAACCTTTAAGGTTAAGAAATAGTACAGATACACACCTTTGTTTATCCTGGATTTGCTTGAGACTTCCTGTGTATGCTTATATGCTTTCACGCTTTTGCATCGCTTTAAGTGGATTGCTTGTTTGAAATATCTTTATTTATTTATAGTTTTCATTAACTCCAAATCTTCCACCTGAATATCACATCACATCAATTGGACTTTTGTTATCTAGTAAGATAATACTTCTAAATTCACTAGATTAAGTTTCCCTTGTGATTCTCAGTTTCAGTGTGCTGCCCTTTTTGCCTGTTTCTCAGTTGGCATTACTTTCAGCTTAGATACTACAGGGTGGACTCATCAATTGGAGGTTCCAATTTTGGGAGTTATTGTACCTGGATTTGGTTAATTTTGAGTTCTACCTATAAGGTGATCACTGTCCACCAGTGACAGCTTAACAGGGTGTTCCAATTTTAACATAGCAACATTTAAGCTTCCCAACTTTGAGTTCTATCCCTTTGAGAGCCAATCGCTGTGGAGTTCCTCACTGCTAAGGATTGCTTATTTTGTGATAGGGCATAACAATGGCACTGCTGAGACTGTAGTTTCAACAGTGTTTTTTTCTGGTGACAGTTTCTCCTTTCCAGAGTGGCTCTTCCTGATGTCTGTGTATATCAGTCTGCATTGTTATCAGTTTGGACACTATAAGGTGAACCCTTTCAATTGGATGTTCAAATTTTGAAGGTTATTGCACCTGGACCTGGTCAATTTGGAGTTCTACTCACAGCAAGGGGGTTCCAATTTTGACACAGTAACGTTGTTCTTTAACTATTCATTTTAAATTCTATCCCTTTGAAGATTGATCACCCTAGAGTTACTCACTACTGAGGCTTGCTGATTGTAAGGCAAGGCAACTTCAGGACTTGCTCCCTCTGGTGGCTAAAATAATACCACAATAGTGTTTAAGTGGAATGACACATAGCCTCTTTATATCTCAATGTACCAAAGAGCTCACAGCTGAACTTCAAACAAAAGAGAACGTGAGTTGAAACAAAAACCAAGAGTTAGAACAGTTGCTCCAAAAAGACGAGCAGGAGTTAACTGAACTTTGCAACCGATTCAATGAGGTAGTAAAGAACGTGATGAATCACATGGTCTTCTTCAACAGGAAATGGAAGAAATAGATGACATGAAGGCCTATTCAGAACACCTGCAGGATGATCAAAAACAGATTCAACAGCTACAAGGGCAGCTACATGAAGTGGGAGACAGGGTCAAGGCAGCCCGCCAGCAACAGGAAAGCAAAGGGGCCGAACTTGTACCAGTTAAGAAAGAGCTATGGCATTCCTTTGAGATATGACGCATACAGCAAACATGCCTAGATGAAACATTTTGAGAGGAGAAGGATGATTTTTTTTCACCTCGTGCCGAATCCTTTCCATATTGGCAAAGCCCTTCCAGAGCTGGCCACAACAATCCCTTCCCGCAATGTCAGCTTCCTTCAACTTCGGGTGTCTCATATCAAGACCTTAACTTGATTGCTCACAACTTGCCACGCTTTGAACCTACTCCTGGTGGTTCTCCGAACACCAGTAGCTACTTGAAGGACATTGACTTCTATCTGTGAAAGTTCCCAAATGCCACGGTCGATGACCAGCTATACCTGATCAAGGTGACGTCTGGGTGTCATGTGAGTAGGTTCAGTGAATGACAGTAAGAACACGTCAGAAGCTATTATGACCTGCTTTGCCAGGCATTAATGAGGGAATTCTCTGACCCCATCTCACAAACAGGTCTAACAGCTGCTATGACAGTCAAACAGGGGAGGCAAGAGTCTCCTCATCAATACTACCACCGCCTTCTTCTGGCTTACTTTGGTAACCGAAACGAGCCCGGGAGTTAGAAGGGGCTACTGGTGGTGGGGTACATGGACCAGCCAACCAGGGCTCCAGAATCGACCTGCTGAAGAACAAAAACAGTACCTACCCCCATGAAACTACCACATCCTCAAATCCTCAAGACCTCCCTGGCCTGGTAAAGGACAAAACCGACTGAGGAATGAGCCAAACTGCCACTCTGTGGACACCCACCGAAGTAGGTTCTAAGCCTACCAGAGGGGAAAGTTGTAAGGCTTGTGATGACCAGGGGGTCACAAGGCAAGATTGTGACTCACAAAACTCTCCACGAAAACCCAACAAGACATATGGTAAGTACAAAACATCTTGCCTCAGTCAGGAAGAGATGGAAACCATCTGGCACCTCATCCAAAGAATGCAAAAGGGAAACAAAAAGGCTGATCTCCTCTCAATAGCGTCAGTAGCCACTGAGACTTCCCCTCAAAACAACCCTCTCAACCAAACTTATGTGGCGGTTGAAGAATTGTACTTAGACCCTAGCGTCCCTGAGTCTACCCCACCTCAGGACCAGACTTCCATGGTCCCAGACAACACTAATGAATCAGATCTGGGAAATGAGAAATCAATGCCCCCAAGCACATGCCCCTGAAGACAGTTTCTGTGTCACCTTAATGAGAAAGGGGTTACACGAAAATTCTACGTGTCCTTGACGCTTGAAGGAAGCATGAAGCACTCCTTGATATGGCAGCGGACATAAACTTGATGTCACTAACACTTTTCAACAAGTTACAGGGGATTGCTCACCAATCTAACAAAGACTTGAAACTCCAGCCCTGTTCTCTGGAGGTTCAGCCATACACTCCCACTGGTACCCCGCTGACACCCATGTCTGTGATACAACTGACCATTGGACCCATGACTCTGCACCATCCAGTGTATGTGTCTCCTTTGTACTCCATTCCACTTCTCATCGGCAAAGACCTCCTCAATCGTCTTGAACCCCTGATTGACTTTGAATGCTTGAAGATGTGGGCACAAACAACTCTCCTCAAACATCAATCATAGTCAAATGCATCACCACAATAAAAAAAGTGATGTTGGGTCACCAACAGTCTCATCACAGCGACTTTGGTCAACACGTGTGCCCACAATGCTGAAGTTCCCTTGAGCAGGATTCAGTCAGCTAACCTTTGAACTCTGGTGTTATGAAGACAGTGTCCCTGCACAGGATGAGTTTGACCTGAGAGCAACAGGTGGACAGTCTGTCGGGTTCAGAGGAAGGAGGTCAAAAGACTCTTCTCTGCTCCAATGCAGGCAGGAGGGGAGGGGGATTTAACCTTTGACCCACTGCGCTGTTGCTTCCTCCTGGCCCTGCGGTTCTTATACCACACCTGAGAGAAACAGAGAGAGAGACAGAGAGAGGAGAGAGTTTTAGTTTCATGTTCTTAAACAGGACATTTAGAGCAAACAGAATGAACTAAATGAATATTCTTGTGCTATGAAGTATAACAATCATATAAATCATATGTTTTGTAGAGTAAAAAATCTTCACACACTGACAGTCTCCTACATGTACAACAAAGATAGTTTTATGGCTTTGAGTCCAGTATGGGGATTTTATTCTAAATCATGTTGTGTTGAAGGCAAATCAAGTCTCTTTTTTTTTCATCTGGTACAAATATTTAAATAAATATTCTAAGTTGCTTTGAACAAAAATATCTAATCAAATAAATGAATTAATATTCAAATATATTGGAAAAGGTGATTTAGAAGGAGAGAAGAGGAAAAGTGAATCAACCCAGTGACAAAATAAGATTAAGAAAACATTTTCATTTTCAATGACTTGTTTTTGGCTCGTGCGTAAAATGTAGAGAGGTTTCTGGTTTGTATGTTAAATAATCTAAGTTACAACATTAAACAGTTTTAGCAGTTTATTTCCCTGATAGACAGACTAACAGACTTGAGTTGCCACATAAACAAAAGCAAACTTGGTGAGTCGGTAACTCATGCGTAAAATGCAACCTGGAAAACGTTTTCTGGACAGATTTTACGCAATTCCATGAACGAACAGCACATTTATGTTTCTCCATCCAGTGAAACATCATGTCGGACTCACCCTGACCGTCTCCTCGCTCAGCCCCGTGCTCCTCGCCAGCTCAGCGCGCGCCTCCATCCCCGGGTATTCGGTAAACTCGAACAGCGCCTCGAGCTGCTTCGTCTGACTGTCTGTGAACACGGTCCTTATCCGACCCTTCTGACGCGGCTGCGACTGAGCGGACACCCCGGCCTCGTGGTAGCCATGGTAACCCGACAACGGCTGAGCATCTGGTAAAAAAAAAGAAGAAAAACATTTAATAGTTGGAAGAAAAATACTGGATTTTATTATTATATTATTATATTCATATTATTACTGTACCCTTGACTTTAAACTTTTTAAAACTTTTTTTTGATGAACTTGAAACAATAATTGTTTTTTTCTGTCTGATTTAATCCTAAATTTAATTTAAAAAACACTTTATAATTAGACCACAAACCTGCAGAGCAGCCGCTGAAGTTCACATACTGAATAAACGGATAAATGCTGCTAAAGTCGGTGCGATGGAAACCGGCTGCGTATGGGTAAAACACCTCTCCAAAACTCATCCCTTGGTACTGCAGGCAGCCTGGCACTGACACTGGGACTGGGACTGGCGCAGGAGGCCTGAGGTTCCCAGAATCCAGACTGAATGCGCCGGGGATCCCCTGGAGATATCCGTCCGGTGGAAACTCCATCACTGGTGGCTTGTGTCCGAGCTGCGGGGAGAGGATGCGCTCGATGCTGAAGTCCGACATTCTCCTTCCGTCCATGATTCAACTCTAAGATCCAGAAAGTTTCCAGAAACTTGTCGCAGTGATCTCTGAGCTCCCAGAGTCCTTCAGTGTCCAGTTTTAAACAGAAACAGAAGCTGCCATCAAACACCTGAGGCTCTTTAATATGTTAATGAGCTTTTTGAATTTAGTGTTTGATGCTGGAGGTTCAGTCAGAGATGAGAAGAAATCTGGACTTTGATTTGACCTCTTAACCTTTTGATTCTTTGAACTGAGAGATGATGTGAGTGAATATGAAAAGTGTTTTGTCCATTAAATCTCCTACTCAACTGTTGACTTTCACTGTTCTTCAAACAACTTAATTATCTTGCTCTTATTAGAGTTAATGAGACACAAACACTGAGTCATCCTGTAGCTGTTTAGTTAGTTCAAAAATACTTTTAGGCTACATTACATGTAAAGAAAAACATTTGTTGCAGCGTGCTATGAAATTAGACTTGGCCAAAATGTGAACAGAAAATCTTCTTTCTGTGTATCTATATAATATACAAATCTATAGATTTCTCCTGAAGGAGAAGTTTATACCTCTAAGGCCGTAACACACAGTAGCTCAATGCATAAATTGTGTTTTAATGACAAAAATCGAGATTTCTATCTAATAAATACCTTTGCAACACAGTTTTCATTCTTATACAACCCAATCTCACACTTTTATACAGTTTTCATGTGTGCCAGTGTGGATAAAGTGTGTGTTGTGCTTGATGAAATATTTCCTGCAGGTTCAGTTTGGGGGAAAATTATCTGCAGTGCGGAGTGGTGGCCTGCAGGTGGCACCACACTCCAGGTTGTGTTCACTGTACTAAGCAAGACAGAGAGCAGATACCACAACGTTCCTATAAACAGGAACCTTACACAGGTAATATATAAAACATGATTGATTGAACACCACAGACGGACTGTGAGAAATATATCTGATATTATCACAGTGAAACCAGTGTGTTTCATCTTTGTCACATCACAGCTCTGTGAGACAAACTGAGGATGAACAACAGGAGTCACTGAGCTGTTCTCACATTTTCTGGTTTTAATGTTGTTGGTCTGCACATCTTCAGTCTGGAAACCTACAGGGACCAAAAGTGTCTGAAAACGGTATAATAATCAGTAAAACTGACTTTCTGTCACAAGAACAATATAATAACAGTATTACACTGTGGTACAGTGGCAGTAGTAATACTGAAGCAGTGGTATCACCTGCAGCAGGAAGAAGTTCACTATAGATACAATGGTGAAATTAAAATACTTTCTTATATACTATATATTTATTCACCCACACTTAATATCTTAACATCAAAGAGTTCCATTCGTTTTTATTGATCTTTGTTTCATCATCTAAATGTCAACTAGTGGTATAATAGGGGATAAATTAAATCTTCACTTCAGTGTTAAAACTGAAGACTGCTTTAAAAGATCAAAATCAAAAGCATTAAATATGAATATGATGTTGTATTGAATCAGTGTCCACCCTCTGTGGTTTCCTGTGAGTGTCAGGTGATGTTAGCTCAGTCTGACTTCTGAGGGAAAGATCAAGAGGTGATCAGTAGCATATCAATCAGTGTCCTCTCTTTAAACGCTCTCTTAACTGATCGATCGTTAACACGCATAAAGAATAGAAGAATAAAAAGACTACAGAACTACAGCAATTTATCAAACATCCTCAGACTGAAGAGTGAGGAGCAGAAGGAACTGAACATTCACACATTTAAATATCACACACTCCTTTTAATTCGGTGTACAGGGCTCAACTCAGTGTACAATGTACAAACATTAACAGCAAACAGGAGGAGAAGAACTGCCTCCTTCTGAACACCTCCAAGACCAAGGAGATGGTCATGGACTTTCAGAGGTCCAGGCCCACCCTTCAGCCAGTCAACATTCGAGGGAATGACATTGAGGTGGTACACACTTATAAATACCTAGGTGTGCACCTGGACAGTAAACTGGACTGGTCCCTGAACATGGATGCCATCTACCTGAAGGGGCAGAGCCGGCTCTCAGGTCCTTTGACGTCTGCAGTGAAATGTATCTATGAAATCTATCTATATCTATCTACAATATGTCAGGGGACCAATAACTTAAAAACATTTATATTCAGTTTTAAACTCCTGAATAGATATATATATATATTTTAAACGTGCTTAATGTTTTAATGTATTTGATTAACTTAATGGTTAAAAATGTATTCTTGGGTTTGTGATATCTTAATTATTTCCAAGGAAGATTGAAAGTATTTGGTCCTAGAAATTCCTTGGATCAGTGGTCTGATGGCAAGACTCTAGTTAACGCTAATATTTGGAAGTGTATCACTGAAACGCTGTGTTTGTTTTCCCTCTAATTTGTATCTAAATACATGGTACTTTATACAAATTGAATTGGAATTTATACATGTTGTTACTTGTGTACAGGTGGTGACAGTCAGTGCCATGAAGTTTAAAAAAATAAGTCAAGGGTCAGAGGGCATGGTGGAAACAAGTGGAATAAACTCTTCTTCAATACATAAGCTTTAGTAAAATGTTCCATACAGTCTAAAGGTCTCTGTCCATGTGTTGTTTGATTATAAAGCAGGTGTAGGTTCTATATTAATACTGTGAAAGTATCAAAGCCTCAGTCCACAGAGAAATGCACACAGCCTGTATTCAGAAACTGAGCCTTAAAACCAGCCATCAGGTCTTCTGGAGCTTTGTGATGTCACAACAAAGCAGTCACCTTCCTCAGAGCTTTCTCTCTTCTGATTGGCTCACTGATCTGTTGTTACTACAGCTCCAGAGAGAAGCCTGAAAGAGGAGATGTAAATGTATGAGGATTAAGCTGGAGACAGACCAGATTTCACCTGGTGAAATTTACTCAGGTGCTGAGGTAAAAAAGCATACGGGACAGGAAACAGTGTGGACAGGTTTGTAAACTGCAGGACCTAGCAGTTATAGGCTAATTATAAATTCAACAGCACTTCATTTTCAGTGACCTCTGCTCTTCACTGTCCTTCACTTTAGCTGAGCAGTGATATCGATTTCAAATGTTTTTGGCCTTTTTGGCCTTCCATACTCTGCTGCTTGTATTATTTTGTCCTACAGTTATTGAATGAGAGGACAAACCCCCCCCCCAACTGCCTGAATATTCGAGAGTCAGTCTGACTCAACTCAAAATGAAGGAGGCGGGGTTAATTTGTGACAGGAAGTGAAAACGTCTTTGCTTATTTCTATCCAAAATAAATGAGGAACATAATCTAGGGTGACTGTGCCTTTAACAGCATGGTCGGTGTTTGAACCAGCTAATCCTAGAGGATTTTTTTACACAGCTTCAGAGGTAACTGTCTGCAAGAGTGTAAAAAAGAAAAAATAATTCTCTCAGTGTGTTGGTGCCTACATACTGCTGTACAGCTGTGGTGTGTTCAGGTGTGTGTTGGACTAAAACCCTTCAGATAATTCTGTCAGACTCTCTCAGCCTCTAGCTGCCTCATCTCTCTCAACATGAATCAGCAAAACATTGCGATGGCCCAGACTGCTCACTGTGCCACACTCCAGACATCCAGCCCCCCTCTCTCTCTCTCTGCTCTCTGTCAGTGTCTCTCTCTCTGTCTGGCTGGTTCACTGTCTGTCTGACTCGCCCTCTCCACTGTAGCTGATTAGTAAGCACAGCGGGAGTTCACTCACAGGGCTTTTTGGATGCGTCTCAATTCTGCTATGACTGTGTCTTTTGGCGACCGTTCATCTCTCTCTCCATGTCCACTCACTGTGTCGGCTGGGTTTCACTACTCCTGACCAGAGTGTCTTTTGGCAGGGTTTCAATACTGTGTCTGCTCGGCGCAGCATTTTAATGTCAAGACATTTCAGTGGCTTTTGGCTGGGTGTCAATACTCTGTCCACTGGTCTTAGGGTTTGATCCCTACTCTGCAAGTTTTCTGGCTGGGTTTCAGAACTATTAAGTCACTCTCTCAGCTGGTTTCACTATTATGTAGTTTATCTTTTGGCTGTGTTTTCACACTGTCCAATCTTTCTTGTTTAAGCCTCAATGCTGGTTTTGGCTGGACTGCAACAGTGGGGCCAACCCTATAATCTGAAATGTCCTGACTGACTGACTGACTGACTGACTGACTGACTGAATTAGAGACTTTTTTTTCAAACAGACTGGGTATAAACTTGGTTCATGACTGGACTGTTTTGGGCAGTGTACTAAGTCGCTTTGGTTTTCCAGCTGCTTGGGAAGAGGAGGAGTGTTTCCAGTACACTGAGCCTCGCCTCCATTACAGCAAATAAACTACTTTCATTCCATGTGTCATTATTACTAAAGGAGGCAGAGGAATAACTAAACATAAGACACACCGAGCAGAGAGAGCAGGAGAGAGGGAGGGAGAGAGAGAAGTCGTCGGTAACGAGACTTCGTACAAACGACTATGACCAACTCTACATATCAAACAGAGGGAGATAGACAAAAACACCTGCCTCTTATAAAAGTTTGTTGCGTTCTGGAGTTGAAGTAAATAAAGACTAAACTATTGTGGATCCAGACGGAGGCTGTGCTCTGTGTCAGAGACTAAATAAGAAAGATAGTTTGTCTCTTCTAATTTTCTCTCTGAGTGATCATGTTACAGTAAATCCAGCTGAAATCACAGCTCAGCCTTTGTCTTTATTTTATGTGTTTGGTGATTTTGTCAGATGACATTGTGGTTATAAAATCAGGAGCTGACCATAGGCTATCCAGACATAGACTTTAGACCATCTTGTTTGGTGTAGTTTAAGTACTGTCGATTTACTGTTTAGGATGGTCTTCAATGCTGGTCAGTAGTGATTGGTGGATGACACTGAGACACTGAAGCTTGTTTCACTTCTTTTCAATCATGTCAGAGTTCTTGTCAGATGACACTGACCATGTAACTGATGATGTCTGAAGCTTCAAACGTCACTGGTGCTTCAGAAAAGCCTCGTTAGTTTACCAGTTTAGTTAGTTTAACGTTTTTCAGCTTAATCATG